CGTATTTTGCTTTTTTTTAATAAAATATTATGTAATGTTTTAAAATACATTTTTAAACACCAGAGACAAAAAATTGCGCACCCCTGCTCTAACTGCTATCATTTACACTGGAGGTGCTGAGGGACTTTTTGCCATCTGCCATCCTTCCACAAGCAGGGCTTTTAAGATGAAATGCGCCTGAAATGGTTGCGCCTTCCGAGTCTTATTTTAGCCATTTACGATGAACTACGCATTCTGATTTGCATCAGCCTTCCGGAAGTCAATAAATAACCTGACATGCAATAATACTTTATATGGAAATATGGAATAATCATTCATAATCACTCTGAGGTGGCGTGTGAATCCATGAGATCCCCCATCATCCAGCTAATCAGAAAGCGAGGCTTTTAAGCCGTGTTTGAACTGCCAAAGATCAGGAAGATCCGATGAGTATTTCAATGAAGCCTTTTAGCCTGACAGCATGTAATCGCCTTTATACTGTAGTCAGTCTCGCTCTGGAACAGAGAGACTCGAGAATTTACTCGGTTAAACAAGGATTAAATTAAAGTGCACTTTAAATGAAATACTTGTCCTATCGAAATAGGAAAAAAGGCGCAGAAACAGGAAAACAGGTGTATAACCCATACGAAAATCTGATATATGACAATATTTGAATTTGAAAAATATATATATAATATAATATATATATATATTATATATATATATATATATATTAGCATACATGGATTTCTCTTATATCCGACTTCTTTTAGTCACATATGGACATATATGTGACATATATGGAAAGGTATTTGAAATTGGCCATTTTAAAACATGGGACATATATTTCAGTCATATATCACCATATGTAAGCATATATGTACAACACATATTTAACAATATATGATAGAAAGCATGAATCATTAACCATTAACCCATAATCAATATGTTATACATATGTTCATCCAGCTATTTGGCATATGCGCACATGTATATATGTACCATACATGTGCACTTATAGCCATATATCAGATTTCCGTATGGGATGAGAAATACATCATACAAAATGACTTGATCTGATGTGAATGGGTCTGTCAGTGCTGCTGAATACCTGAATAGTGCAGACTGTATGCTAATACTGAATGCTAATTTTGCCTGTTATTAGCTGTAGCCTATAACTTCGATATGTGACAGTCATTTAACTAAGAAGCGATATTCAGTACAGATTACTCGCAGATATGAAAGTGAGGAAACACTGCCCTGAAATGTGATACTGAATACAAATTTGCCGATTTTGCACTAAATAAACTCTGCGATGTAAGCTCGTCCGTAAACATGAGACGTCTAATGCCTGTCAGTCTTATATAAACGCCTTCCTGGACAAACTCGTTTAAAAGAGAAACTACGTGGAAGCCGCAATGAACCGGTGTGTTTGTAACACTGTTTTATCTTCGTTTTTATGGTCCTAACCGTGTGATACTGACACGAAGCATAGCGTATAAAAGGATGCTGTCGCCGAAAGCTATGGATTGAAACATCACCAGCAGGGGGCGCGCTTAACTAACAGAAACACAGGCTGTGTCCAAAACACACTGCAACTACTACTAACGAATGCGCTACTAATAGTGCTCTACAGGTTTGACTACTATTTAGTATGATAGTGTGTCTTTTTGGACGCAGCCAGTTATACTGGAAGCCCAGTTGAGTGTTATAACTTGGCTTATATTCACAAAGCAGTCCTGAGTCATTCCAATGAAAGAGTGCCTTTTGGGTACACGGCGTATAACCCCCACGGGACACTGATGTGTGTTTTTTTGGGTTTTTTTCGCAATACGCACACAAAGTTTATGTAATTTACTGTTACTGACATTAGAAGGTTGAACAGAAAGTGTGGCAGACTTTTTTCCGTGAAATATTCCACTTTGTCACAACTTCAGTATGATGGGACATGCCAGTGTTATACCTGTTCACATCCATGATGAACTTAAATTGCGTACACCTTCATTATTTTTATATTACAGGTTTATGTATTCGTCCTCCCTATGAGACCTTATAGATCACAGTTAATGTTGTTAGTTTTATGGTATTCAGATTAGATTACAAGCATCTGAAGTCTAATCAAGTATGCAGAGAAACACATGGAAAATGTTTTCAATAAATCTCCCTTAGACTATGCTTTGTTAGTGATGTGCTCTTTTGACAGGTCATTCACAGAGACATCCAGGGGACTTGTTCTAATCTTTTGTGAGTACAAATAGTTTAGCTATTTCAAGTAATAAAAATCAAGGTCTAGCATCTTCACCCCTGGTTAAGATGACATATAGCATCCAAACAACCTAAAAGTCTTCTTCTTTTTTCTTTCTTTTTCTTATTAGTAGTATCAGTAGCAACACTAGTTGCAGTAGCAGTCTCACTGCAAACCCAATTCCAAGGACAGTAGGTAAAATGCAAATAAAAACAGAAAGCAGTGATTTGTAAATTAAAACAATACAAAGACAAAATATTTAATGTTTTACTTTTCAAACTTAATTATATTTTGTAAAAATATACTCTCAATGTGCTCAACTTGATGCCTGTAGCATGTTCCAAAAGAGTTTGGACAGTCAATTTAAGACTAGAAATGTTACGAAATGTTCTAAAAACTTCTTAAATAGGTGATGTAATCATGCTTGAGTATAAGATGAGCCTTCGATCCCTCAGCACTGCATGCAGCACCAGCATAATTCTGTGATGAATATAATCACATGGGCTTGGGAATACTTTGTAAAACCCTTGTCAATAAACATCATCAGTCGCTGCATCCACAAATGCAAGTCAAGACTCTACTACACAAAGTGAAAGCCATATATCTACAACATTCAGAAATGGTGCCAATTTCTCTGGGCTAAAGCTCATCTGAGCTGGACTGATGCAGAAGTGCTGTGGGTCCACCTATCAAATTGTTTTTGGAAATAACTGGTGTTGTGTTCTCCGGGCCAAAGTGGAAAAGGAGCACCCTGATCGTTACTAATGCAAAGTTGAAGAGCCAGCATCTGTCATGGCACAGGGGTGTGTTAGTGCCAATGGCATGGGTAACTTGCAGATCTGTGAAGGTCCCATTAATGCTAAGGGATACATACGCTTTTTGGAGCCACATATTCTGCCGTATAGATCACATCTTTTTCAGGGGCGTTTTTAAAAAAGACAATGCCAAGGCACATTCTGGATGTGTTACAACAGCATGGCTTGTAGTAAGAGAGTGAGCTGTCTGCCATTGAAAAATGTGGCGCATTATAAAGCACAATATATGACAGCAGAGACCCAAGACTGTTGAGCAGCTGAAGTGTTATTTCAAGCAAGAAAGAAGCAATTACAGTGATTGGTGTCTTCAGTTCCTAAACGATTACTGAATGCTATTAAAAGGTAAGGTGATGTAAACATGCCCCTGTGCCAACTTTTTTGGGACACGTTACAGGTATCAAAATTAGAATTAATTTGTATGTATACATACAAAGAGCAACGAAGTTAATTAGTTGGAACTTTTGAAATCTTGTCTTTGTGCTATTTTCAATTGAATACAAGTCAGAAAGTATTTGCAGATCATTGCAGTCTGTTTTATTTACATTTTGCCTAGTGTCCTAACATTTTTGGAAATGTGTTTGTATTATTTATAAGTTATTATTATAGAGTAGTATGTTAGTATTTCAATATTATACATTACTGCTTTGCATTATTATTATTATTATTATTAGTAGTAGTAGTAGTAGTAGTATTAGTAGTAATAGTAGTAGTAGTAGTAACAGCAATATTGCTGTTGTATAAGTATTGTTTTTGTTGTTGTTTTTAATATATTAGTAGTACTCATAATAAGTATACTAGATGCCCAAAAGTTTGTAGACACCCGTTTATCCAGTGTTTCTTCAGAAATCATGGGTATTAATGGGGTGGAGTTTGGTCCACAAGTTCACTTCAACCCATCCCAAACGTTACGGACAGCGCACCATCCCTCCAGAGAATGCAGTTCCAGTGCTCCACAACTTGGTGGGGGTCTTTATGCCTCTCTAGCCGACGCTTGGCTCCAGAGTGTCCCATTCTTTTGGCACTGCCTTTCAGTAGAGATTATTCAAACTGTATGCGCAATTGAATGCCTGTGTCAGCAATGGGTGCACCTTAAAGTTTAATTATTACATTTTATAATATATTGCAATATTAGTAGCAGTAGCAGCTGTTTTGCTGTGTAAGCATTAGATAAAGATAGCATATCTGTATCAGTGGGTATCAGAATGAGGCTGATATCAGCAGAAAATGCTGGACTGGACATCAGAGGGAGAGAAAAGAAGAGTCCAAAGTTTTACTACACACTTCTATAACTTAAGAATAACTCTAAGAATAAGCCTGGGATTGTATGAGATTAACAATAGCAGTATTATTGTGTATTCCTATCATTTTTGTTGTTTTTGTTATTATTGTAATATGCTGTTATTGTATTATTAGCAGTAGTGTTGTGTATTAGTATCATTGTTTTCATTATTAAAGCAATATAATACTAATTGTATTAGTAGTAGGGACAGTAGCAGTATTTTTGTGTATTAATATTTAGTTTTTATTATTACAATAATATGCTATAACTGTAGTAGTAGTGAGAGTAGCAGTAGTGTTGTCCAAGTATTACTATTGTTTTTGTTATTTGTTACCACAGTAATATATAAGTGTAGTAATAGTGGTGGTAGTAGCAGTACTGTTGTGTATTAGTATTGTTTTTTATTTTTATTATTACTGTAGTGCTGTAGTATGTAGAGCAATAGACGCAGTGATAATAGAAGTAGTAGTAGTAACAGAATTAGTAGTGGTGTTGTTTAGTCTACTCCTAACTGATATGAACAGTGTGTACAGTGCTGGTGTGGGGCAGACAGCGCTAAGTTGTTCTCCTCCACTGAAAACTCCTCTCCTCAGGGCGGGTTGGTTTACAAAGGCCAGACAAAGGCGAAGCTGCTGATTGGCCGCTGCTCCCGGGAGTCCTCCGTCACCTGTCCGCGCAGAGCCCAGCTCCTCATTCACATGTAAATCAGAGCCCATAAATGCCCCTCACTCACTCTCCGTCAGCGCACAAAACACGCCTCGCTCGTTAGCGCCGTGTATTTGGAGATCGCTTTTGTTCCAGCCTGGGCTCGCCGACCATCTGCCCCATTGAGAGGAGTCCTAACGGCGCTTTGAGGAGTTTTTTCCCTGTTTTTTTCTGAGCACAGCAAACATGGCCCCGGCCTCTCGCAACGGCAGGAGTGGACCGGGCAGAAGTGAGGATGACTGCTTCGGCATCAGAGGGGACAGGAAGGTACGGGACTTATTCTATATATCCTTCTTCAGCTCTTGTGTTTAGGAGTCTACACAGCACTCTGCAGTGTTTCCTCTTCTTCTCTGTGCAGACGCGAAAGCCGTTGGTGGAGAAAAAGCGGCGAGCCCGCATTAACGAAAGTTTACAGGAGCTGCGGCTACTGCTAGCTGACTCGGACGTAAGTAAGCTCACTTCATCCACTTCACCGCAACTTTTGTACCACAAATGAAGTGCTGGCTCTCAAAATACAACTCTGGGTAATTACACTAACGTATTTTGAATTATTCACAGGCACAAACCAAGATGGAGAACGCCGAGGTGCTGGAAATGACCGTGAAACGTGTAGAAAGTATTCTTCAAAACAGAGCTAAAGGTGAGCTAACTACTAACACGCTAGCCTGAACAATACGGGGAGAAACAGCATTTCCCCCTCGTATTAAAGGACTACCGAAAAAACAAAAGCACCCCAAATGTAGTAGATCAGCCAAGACAACTTGGTATGTTAAGTTTGGTCCTTTAGATTTATAATTAAGTTTAGTTTCATAATGAAGTTTTTTGTAATAGAACAACTTTGTCATCCAAGACTTTCAGTGACATAGAATAGATTTCCATCACGTTTCAGTTAGAAGCTCCAGTGCAAAACTAAAGAGGCAAACTTCAGAAACTGAACCTGTCTTTGCTCATCGATTACATCTGAGTTGAAGGGTAAAACTGTGCAGTTAGATGTCCTTTCCTTTACAGCTGGACTTAAGTATTGTCTCATTTTGACCTTGTGTCTTTATATGTACCTCAGCAGCTGACAGCATGAACCGGGAGGCGAGCGAGCGCTTTGCTGCGGGCTACATCCAGTGCATGCACGAGGTCCACACGTTTGTGTCCAGCTGTCCAGGCATCGACGCGGCTGTGGCGGCCGACCTGCTGAACCACCTGCTGGAGTGCATGCCTCTGAACGGCGAGCAGCGCTTCCAGGACGTGCTGACCGACCTGCTGACCGAGCCAGGACACTATGGCCCCTGGCCGAACGAGTCCCCTGGAGGGCTTGTTTGTGGTGAAGGAGGAGGAGGAAGCCCATCTGATCTGTCCTTGTCCCCATCCACCACGTCCAGTGATGACCTGAGCTCGGATGGCGAGGACACAGAGAGCGAGCGTGGCCATGGCGTGTCTGATGACCGGGACGCAAGAGACCTGCCCACCAGCTATTACTCCAAGGCCGTGTGGAGGCCCTGGTAGAGCTGGAGGGGTCCTGCAACAACACTGGACCATGGGGGGAAGTGTGTGCAGGCTATTACACAAAGCCATAGGCAGCGTGTGTAGGCTGGTTTCTCACCTTCGGTCCTGATCATTTCACAAAGCAGTTACCCAGAGAACTTGTTCCAACAGTCATGATATTGGGTCCAGTTGGAGGAGAGCTAAGGGGAATCCCTGTTGTTTATTGGACAATCATCACTTTTAAAGTTTTAAACTCTAGGCTTTTTCTCAAGTTATTACTCTTAAAGGAATATTCCAGCGTTTTTCTTTCAACTACAATTTTCTCTGTAGCAAATGGTCAATTACCATGGACAGTGATTTCAATGTGTTTATCTGTAAAAGAACAGAAAAACATTTACTCAAGACACACTTATAATAGAAGCCAATGGGCACTTGCTTCTGCTTCTAGTTTTCCCTGTACATGAAAGCTTTCATTAGCTTATTAGCAAGTCCTTTTGACTGAATCAAATGTGTTAGCACAGGGAAAACAGGAAACTGCGCAGTGCAGTTGGGACCTTTAGAAATGTGGTTGGGAAACACTGGTGTAGGCTGTAACCCCAGGCAAATGACTATGTGTGTAGGCTATAGAACTGGGCCATAGGCCATGTGTATAGTCTGTAACACTGGACCATTGGCCATGTAGGCTTATGAAATTGTAGCTGGGGATGGGAAGTGTCTGTAACAGTTGTGTTGTATAATATAAAGCTCTTCTTGGTGTAGCAACCACATTTCACCCAGTAACACGGAAATATTGTTTTTTTGTTTTTTTTATATCAGCATCTTTGTATTTAAAAAAAATGTATAAGCTAAATTAAGACAACACTGTTATGATGAGTATTTCTAGGAGGTGCTTATCTGTATCTTATTATTGTAGAAGAGAATGTAAATATTTCATCGTTGTTGCTGTAGATATTGATGAAGTGTAAGTTGTTCCATTCATTAATAATAATAATAATCAATAAAAAAAACAATAATTACCCATAAACTGGTCTCTTTTTAGGTTCTGCATGTTTGAGTTGATGCAGTCGTTGGACAATAATTGAGAAAAAAGAAAAAAGTGTCTACTTTCACATTGTGTCTACTTTAATACTATTTGCTATTCTAGAAGATACGTTTCATAATCCACCATGAACCTGGTCGCTGTTATCAGCCTGACTAAAACGTCGCCAGCCTGGGCGCCGCTGACTTTAACGACTTCATCCACCTCAGCGAGGGGAAAAATTAACAACTGAAATAATCAGACATGCAGCACGGAGGCCTTCCTGACACGTCTCGCCTGTGTGGGCTGTTAAGGCTATTTGAAAGTGAGAAGGTCCTACTTTGGAGTGCCTCTTTTGTGCTCGGGGTGTAAGAGGTGTCGAAGCTAACACCCCTGATGGTTGTTAGCCCGGACCTGACAACCTGAGCTGTCATGCTGCTGGAAAGACAGCTAAGCTAGTTTGTTTGATTTTTTCGGTGTTTAAAGGCTAGAATGCAGTAAGAAGGCTTTTCATTGCTTTTGGCTTTAAAATGTGTACAATTTAAGAAGGCTACGACAGACATATCTCCAAGCAAGTATACCAAAGCAACGTCTAAGCTAACGTTAGCCCAGGGTTTTATAGCCGTAGATTTATCGTAGCTAGTTTTCTGGACGAAACAGACCCAATTTTGCGCCGAAATATGAAAACTACTTACACTCACTTCTGAAACCCTCATAAGTTTGGACTGTTCTTACCTTTCTAGATGCAGATAGAAGTCTAGCAACCACTTAAGGCTCGATAGATATGGAAAAGAAAACATAAAAGCTACGTGTAGCTGCTCTCAAAGGAAGCTCACACGAATTCAACGCCGAAAAGCCGTTAAGTAGCATCAGCAGTACAGTTAGAATCCTCAGGCTGGGCATGGCGGGAAAACACCATGATATAAATATAAAATATAATAAATGCTGGGGAAATTGTCAACTTATGGCACGACGGGAAAATATAAGGATATAAATATAATAAATGCTGGTTAAATAGTCAACTTGAGGCATGGGGGATGTGATGATATAAATACAAAAACATAATAAATGCTGGTAGAAATAAGACTAATAGCACGCAGTATATTACTCTTAAAAAGGGGGGGGGGACATTAACCCATTGATGTCCAGCAGTGAAGTGAAGAGAGTTTTGCCTTGGATGAACACTTAGCAGTGCTTTTTTAGTTACATCATGTCATTTCAATACTTTTATTCACAATCACATTTTTACACAGATGTCCTAACCAAAAAACCTAAAATTAATATCAATATTAAGGAATAGAATTCACTTTTTAGCCGTATGGTTTCGTCGATTTGAGTTTTTTTCTTTAGGCTTTTGCTCAGAAAACGTGCGTTATGGACATCGATGTGTCAAGGCCTTCATCAGTCCTGCACCTGTATATTCATTTAGAGTCGACAATCAACACTTTCAAAGCGTTTGATGAACACGACCGTAACAGCTATAAAGCTGCATTTAAGGGCCGAATAAAAACGTTTTAATCTTTTCCAAATCCACATTTGAACTTCGCGGGCTGCTGTCGGTTTGTGAGGGGGCCTCTCTGCTGCTGAGGCGGATTAGTGGCGTCTGTTAGGTGCTGTTTGGAGGAGGGGTGGGGGTCTGAGGGGGATGTTGTCCGGAGACTTTAACACCTCCACTTTAAATTGGCGGAGGTGTGAACGGCTCCGGTCACCTTCATCAAAGGCAGCGTCCTCCTTCCCACAGCACGTACAAGTCTGCACCTCGGCCACATGGAAGGACCACCAAAGGCAGGGAGAGGCTGGACATCGGATGTGTGTTGTAAAAGAAGAAAAAGCGAACAGGAGCGCTAGAAACGAGCCGTTTGATTTGGAGCATATGGCACTGAAATGGGCTCCTCAGGGTTTCCAACGGCCAGTCTGTAACAGACACTCATTACCGGAGGAGCTGGACCGTGTGTGAGTGCACACAGACAACACACAGGCCAAGGACCACTAAGAACCCGTATGAATAAAGATCTATAAGAACACTATAGGATTTCTGTAAGAAACATATAGTAAATATGGACAGTTATGCAAAAGTTTGAACACCCCTGGTCAAAAATAAAACATAAAATATGCCATAACTTTTGCACATTTTGCCACCCCATATGTTAATTTAAGCAAATAAACAGTGCACTAAAATACGTGTGTTCATTGTAGGTCTGCATTTGTTTTGCTTAAAAAAATCAGCATGTACATTGACCAAACTTTTGCATATACTGTATATTATACTATAGGACACTGCATTAATAGTTTATTAATAATGATTACTGTACTACAGTACTACAGGAATATTACATGAAGGTGAAATTATTATAGTATTATTACACAGCTCCACAGACCTCTTTTAGATTCTTATAGTATCATTATACACTTCAAAATATGTTAAATGTATATTTTTTGGCTATATTTACCTGACACATTTTCACTGGAATGCTTAATTAACAAATCCACAACTCCAAGGTTTTTTCTTTTTCCTAAAAAATCAAATTTTATTCCAAACAAATGTTATGTAATCATAACAATGGACACACACAACATTTGGTGTACAATAAACACTTTTCAAAAAGTAACATTTAGAGTGCACACACTGTCCTAACTGCAGCCTTTTTAAGACTAAGATAAAACATGTTCCCCAATAGCAACTGTAGCACTTTCCAAAACTAGCTTCCCCCAAAAGCTACCTAGTTTCTCAGCACAGACATCAGGCCTCACCCGGCTGGGCTGACTGTCAGGGCAGAGGAAAGAGGAAATGTAGAAAGAAGAGTCAAAACTCAAACATACTTCTTCTACAAGATCTCTTAAGGCAGCCTTATAGTCCTGTTCTTGTACATTATGATCACCTTAAACTGAAGATCAAAGTGATTGTCTTACCCTGTACGCCAAGAAGGCGTGACTTGCTGTATGTTTCTTGAGAGTATTCCTCTCCTAAATAATAGGTTATACAGTATTTTATACTATTTTACTGTTTTCATTGCACATTGAAGAAAGTTCTTGGTTCAAATCTGCCTCATCCAAAATAGTGACGCTGAGCTTGGTCCACATGCAGTTCTCTCGTTTTCTCCTTTTCTATTGCTCTGGTCTGAAAAATAATTTAATATACATTTCTCCAGATTCAGCAGATAAAAAGCTATATACATTTTTTATTACTTATATATTATTATATGTATATAAAAATAAATATTTGTAACGTCTTTCAGTAGAAGCCCCCACTGACAATCTTTTCAGACAAAAGCTACACTTCTCGTATTTACTCTGGAGAATGAAAAGAAAATTTACAGACTGCAGTTCTACAACACAATGTGGCACATGGCAGAAGTCCTGAACATCCATTTAAAGAAAAAAACATAAAAATAACAGCAGAACACATGAACAAAGCAAAGAAACAAAAATACTCTTCACTGTTGCCATAACAACAAAGAATGAGAATGTTAATATAAAGGAAATGTTCATAAAGTTTATATCACAAGGACTATGAAGTCTATGAAGAGTTTGAGTTGGAAAACTCACATCTGACAGTGAAATTTACTGAGGCTTCATACTGCCCCCAAACACACACACACACTCACACACTCTTTGAGAGTATGTGGCTGCTGTACACTCGTAAAATAAACAGTGTCCCCAACACTGAAACATGGAGACCATAGAAATATTTGTGTATAACTTTTTTTGAGGAAGTTTTTTCACTGTTCCTGGTTTGAGGGAGCCGCTGTGACATCACTGCTTTCAGACTCCCCCATGTGCAGGTCTGGGAGCTCCTCTTCAATCAGCGTCTCCGTCACTCCCTCACAGCCGACACAAGCCTGCACAACACAAACACACATTGCTCAGACTGGGCCTACAGCAGTGTCCCTACTGGAATTATCATCAACTAAGATCAAGGTCTAATGCCATATATTATAAAAATATAAAATAAAAACACATAGAACCATGGCTGCTAGAACTACTGGAGGGCAAGTGGACATTTGACATTGGGGGAAAAAAAACTCCGCTCTCCCTAAACCACACTGACCTATAGACACGAACAGACAGCCAAACTCAGCGGCAGAACCAATCAAATTCTCCATTTCAGCTGAAGTGGGGCAGGACATTTCTCAAACAACAAAACCTTCGTAATTTTGTGTTCAGTGAGAAAACAGCTGCAGCTCACTAATTCAGTAATGTTTTTACTGCAATACACTCACTAATGTACTTGGTTACAGTTTATGTGACCACACTGTGAAATTTACTAAATATCAGTTTTGGTATTGCTTACTGCTACCTTGATAAACTGAGATTTGATGTACTTCAGAGATGTTTGCTAGCAAACATTGCTACAGAACAATGTGAACCCTGCAGAGTCAAAACAAACACTGACTTTATACATTTAAGGTTTAATGGGACATTTTAGCCATGACATATTCTATATGTAATACTGAAATTTAGTTTTAGATAGTCAGTCAACTTATTTAGGGGCAGTCGTGGGCTGGAGGTTAGGGAACCACCCTTGTGACTGGAAGGTTGCCGGTTCGATCCCCAGAGCCGACAGTATGTGACTGAACTGCCCTTGAGCAAGGCACCCAACCCCCAACTGCGCCCTGGGCGCTGTAGATAGGGCTGCCCACCGCTCCGGGCAAATGTGCTCACAGCCCCCTAGTGTGTGTGTGTTCACTAGTGTGAATGTGGTGTCTCACTGGTCGGATGGGTTAAATGCGGAGGTCTAATTCCGATGTGTTCAGACACAGTTGGCTAAAAGTTCATTTCATTCATTTAACTAAAATATCAATGAAGTGGAATTAGTCAGAAGCAAAGTAGTAAAGCAGAGGGGATATTCTGTGTTCAGCGAATTTATACGCTAGTGTTGAAAAGTTTGGAATCACTGTCTCTTACTGACAGGATTAGGATTGTCTTGTCCAGAAGGAATAGAGCTACATATTCTAAAATGACAGAGAAAGCTGTGCAGCATAAATAATTAATTTATAATAAAATTAATATCCAGAATGCCTTATATTGAATTAAAAATGTAAAAATGTATAGTTTGCAATGTTTATATCTACTTTAAGTTATTACTTTAAGGTTTAATTCTAAACCTTTGAACAAACATTTTCTTTAAAATTCAAATTTCTATGTAAAATTACATTTTATGCATTTTTGTATTTTATGCATTTTTCCCCTAAAATCCACTTTTTTCTGTTTTTATGTACCAAAAACAGCCATAACAAATTTTTACATAACCATGTCCTAACCTCTCTTTATCCCCTAGAATTAAACAGGCTGCAACTGTTACTGCGCCTTTAAGACTGATCTATGTAAATGAGCTCTGATTGGCTGCCTTGTACTGCGCATCATTCAAAAACTGTCTAGGCTGAAATTTCTTTTGCCCCACAGAGTCTGGGTTTTTGTGTCATACACTATATGGACAAAAGTATTGGGACACACCTTTTAATAATTGAATTTAGGTTTAATTCAGTCCCATTTCCATAGGTTTATAAAATCATGCGCCTAGCCATGCAGCCCGCCTTTACAAACAATTGTGAAGGAATGGGTTGTTCTAAAGAGCTCACTGAATTCTAGCATGGTACTGTAATAGAATGCCACAATCAACTGTGAGTGATATTATTGAAAAGTGGAAGCGTTTAGGAACCACAGCAACTCAGCCACAAAGTGGCGGACCATGTGAAGTTACAGAATAAGGTCACCAAATGCTGACGCACATAGTACATAAAAGTCACCAACACTCTGCTGACTCAATAACTGCAGATTTCCAGTGGTAAACAAGCAGTGGAAACATATTCCGTGGAGTTATCACGCTTCTCTATCTGGCAGTCTGATGAACGAGTCTGGGTTTGGCGAATGCCAGGAGAACGTTACCTGCCTGACTGCAGTGTGGCAAGTGTACAGTTTGGTGGAGGAGGAATAATGCTATGGGGTTATTTTTCAGGGGTTGGCCTAGGACCCTTAGTTCCAGTGAAGGGAAATCTAAATGCTTCGGCAGACCAAGACATTTTGGACAATTTTATGCTTTCAACCATATGGGCACAGTTTGGGGAAGGTCTTTTTCTGTTCCAGCATGACTGAGCCCCAGTGCACAAAGCAAGGTCCATAAAGGCATGGCTGGGTGAGTTTAGTGTGGAAGAACTTGACTGGCCCGCACAGAGCCCTGACCTCAACCCCATCAAACACCTTTGGGATGAGCGTGAATGGAGATTGTGAGCCAGGCCCTCCACATCAGAGTCTGACCTCACAAATGCTCTTCCTGATGAATAGGCAAACATTTCCCACAGACACTCCAAAATCTGGTAGAAAGCTTCCCAGAGGAGTGGAAGCTGTTATAGCGCCAAAGGGGGACCACCTTAATTCACAATGATTTAAAATGCGTTGTCATAAAAGCTCCTGTAGGTGTAATGTGTAGGTGTCCCAATACGTTTGTCCATATAGTGTACCTTTTTCATTAGGTTTGTTCATTTGGGTTGGTTTCACATTGCAATTGCTGAAGTGTGCCAAATTATATACGTTTGTCATCACTGATTGCTAAGGAATTTGGCAGGGATACAAGCTCTTAGTTACTTTTACGTTCGCCACCTTTAGTGCCAAAAAATGACATTTTTTCAACTTTCATTAGCTGATCATAGTACAAAATCCCTATTCCTCATATATATTCCAGATATAAATGTATTTTCTTACTAATTACATTTCATGAAAGTAGAGACTCGAGTTCAAGCAGACAGAGACCCGTGATTTTTGGCAGACCACAGTTCAGCTGTTTACCCAGTTTGATTGGTCCACCCTAAACTAGGTAGATGTGGAAGCGCCCTAGGAGTACGACCACTAGTTGTCTCAGAAATCTAATAAGTTAATTTTTAATCTCTAATATTTAACTAACCTAACAAGGTTTGGGTGTGACTGGTTGAATTACATTTTGATGGTTTTGTAAGTGAAAATTAGTCAACACATCCTCTACGGGAAACATATTTCTCTCAAATAAATAGAAACATTTAAAGAAAAATACCACATTTGAGTTTGTTAATAATAATAATAATAATAATAATGATACATTATACTTATATAGCGCTTTTCAAGAACTCAAATACGCTTACAGGTTTTTGAAATACAGAACAGTAAAGACAGACATGAGAACATAAAGCACAGTCATAACACCACAAGCAAAACATAGCAGGACTTGGCAAAGAGCTTAGGATTGAGAACAGTTATAAGCAATAGAAAAGAGATAAGTTTTAAGTTTAGATTTAAAAGTGGAGACAGAGTTGGCCTGTTGAATATGTGAGGGAAGAGAGTTCCAGAGTCGGGGAGCCAGCCTAGAGAAAGCACGATCACCGTACCCATTAAGTTTGGAAGGTGGGACAGTGAGTAAACCAGCAGAGGAAGACCTGAGAGTGCGAGTTGGTTTGTAGGGAATAAGTAGATCAGAGAGGTAAGAAGGAGCAAGGTTATGCAGAGCTTTGTATGTGAGGAGAAGAATTTTGAATCGTATGCGGTATTTTACAGGAAGCCAGTGGAGATGTTGCAGGATGGGTATAATATGCTGATGTGCACGGGTGCGGGTGAGAAGGCGAGCAGCAGAGTTCTGTACCATCTGGAGTTTGCATAAATGGAGGGAGTTAACCAGCAAGTAAAGAGTTACAATAGTCCAGGCGACTAGAAATGAATGCATGAATAAGGGTTTCTGCAGCAGATTGAGAGAGTGACGATCGAATTTTTGTAATGTTACGGAGATGGAAAAAAGAGGTTTTAACTACAGAGTTGATGTGTGCACTGAATGAGAGAGTTGAGTCAAAGAGAACGCCCAGATTTCATACCAGAGGGGAAGGGGACAGAGTTACATTGTCGATGGAAAGAGAGAAAGGAGAAGTTTTAGAGAGAGTTGATTTGGATCCTATAAGAATAAGTTCTGTTTTGTCACTATTTAACATGAGAAAGTTGTGCTTCATCTATGTTTTAATTTCTGTTATGCAGTTTTCAAGCTGGGTGAGGGGTGAATTTTTAATAGATTGAGTGCTAATGTAAATCTGTGTGTCATCCGCATAACAGTGAAAGTTCAGCTTGAAACTACGTATTATGTGGCCAAGAGGAAGCATGTACACAATAAACAAAACAGGTCCAAGGACTGAGCCTTGAGGGACCCCCTGAGTAACCACAGACGTGTGAGAAGTATGGCCACCGAGGGTGACAAACTGTTTTCTGTCAGTCAGATATGACTTAAACCACTCCAGGACAGTGCCCCTAATGCCCAGATCATGCAGCCTTGATAGGAGGATTGAGTGGCTCACCGTATCAAAGGCTGCACTCAAGTCAAGTAGTAGAAGGATGCTAAGGGCACCAATATCGGCAGACACAAGGAGATCATTAGTGACCTTTATTAAGGCAGTTTCTGTGCTATGAGAGGGACGAAATCCGGACTGGAATGGTTCAAAGAGGCAGTTAGCTGATAAGTAATACTGAAGTTGGCTAGCCACAGTTCGTTCAAGTACTTTGGACAGGAAAGGGAGGTTAGAAATGGGGCGGTAGTTACTGAGTTCTAGTGGATCAAGGCCAGGTTTTTTAATTATGGGTGTGATGGTAGCAGTCTTGTAAGCAGAGGGTACCTGTCCATAGAGAAGCGAGTTATTGACAAGAATTGTGAGATGAGGGACCAGGGCAGAAAGACAAGCTTTAGTTAAGGTTGTCGGAAGGGGATCAAGAGAACAAGTTGTAGTTCTAGAAGTAGTTATGGTGTTTATAATGGAAGAAGAATCAACAGTGTTAAAGGTAGAGAGATTAGAGGAGGGGGGGCTGGGGCTTATAGAATGGACAGTCAGGGAGGAAAGGGAAGAGGTATTATTAATAGTGTTCTCTTTAGAGGGTGTGTTATTTTCACTTAGAAAATCAACAAAACACATAATTTGACAAAGGGAATCTACAACTGTATTAAAAACAATACATCAATCTGAAAGAACAAAGATTTGCATGCTCACCTTGACATCAATGGCTTTGGGCAGACCTCCTCTCCTCATCCAAGGATGAACCTCAGCCAGCTCTCTTTTCTGCTCCTCAGAGAATCGCGGCTGACTCTTCTGCATCTGCCTCAGCTTCTCACGGTCCTCACGCAAAACTCGCTGTACATCACTGAAGAGACACAAGTAAACATACACAGGCTTGACTATAGATATAAACCATGATAAAACCACAAAAACACTAAGGGTGTAGATCTCTAACCTCAGCATTTGATTAGATCATGACTGACAGGAAAAGATTCAATGCATCATGAAATGTTTGATATGAAGATAATTTGTTATGATTTAGAATTACTTTTATAAAGACTCTCAATAAACAATTGCAACTAAAGGAAACACAGCGCTGTGCGAAAGTTATAGGCACCTGGGATTATCAGATAATTTTAACAAGCTACTTTTCTGGTCAGTAAGCATTTATTTGCTCTAATATTAGAATACATTTAAATAACATTAATATAATAAGGAGTTATTTTATGTTTGTCAAGGTATTCGGTTGAACATTTCCAAACCTTTCCTCAAGGAAGGTCAATATTAATTGTAGTTATCATCCAACACCTGCTCTAGCTTATCATTCATTTATTAAGTTAAATCAGGAGTGCTGCTGATGGAACTGAACACATCTATATGATAGCATTGAGGAGAACAATGGAACCATACTGGGTTCTTATAACTAGAGCTCAAAACATCAACTACCTGTTTTAAAACAAGAAATTCTTTTTACTTTTTACAGCATTAATGTTTGTTTGCATTTATTCTAATTTTGGTTTCACACAATTTGCTTAGACTTTTGCACAGTACATGCCGAAATTAACAGTGATGTAACTACGATCTTATGGGCACCAGTGCAAAAAAATAAAAATGTATGTCCCCGCCCCCAAATTACTTAAAGTAATTTGCTTTTTTACTCACTACTGTTAACAGTTAGACAACCTATTTAAGATTTTAGAACTATAAATAATGAATATGTCATGTTGCAGTCTGTTAAAGAGCCATTTGAAAGGGAGATAAACAGATGTCAGGGCTGTTTGTGTAGTGTTCATGGACAGTAACTGGTGAGCGAAGTGCAACTGCCCTGCTCCCGCAGTTGTTACTCCACTGTTCATGACATGTACAAAGGAACACTGGTGCCCTCTAGTGGACATAACCGTGTGACAGCAGGAAAAACTAAAAAAAAAAATCAATCAATACACTTCTACTGACACAGTATATTTAAATTCTGAGGCTACTTATGTGGGGATGGGGGGGTGCCCTATGAATAGCAGTGAGCAGGCAAATTTCATAGTAAATTTAAGCCCCCCTATTTGGTGTGATGAGGGCATGGGTTTTGTGTTCTCCTTTCTCCTTTTACTCACCGAGAGGGCAGCTGGTATGTCATCATAACAGCCTCATCTACGTTGGCTGCAAGGAGCCACAGAGGATCCTGCAGTACATACTTTATCAGACTCTCACTCTCCTCCATCTCCATGGGCCCTGAAACGCCACCACCCAGCCCCTTGGCCTTATGGGACTTCTGTGAAGAGTCCACGCTGCCGAAGTAGTTACTGCTGTTATTACTGGTGTGACTGCTCCCTGTGAAAAAGAATGACATTGAGATAAATTATAAACGTTTGTAATTGTCAAAATACAGGTTCCTAAAAATCTAATGAGAGCTGAAAACGTTTCACGGTACCCGATATGCATCAATGCTTTTTAATTTTGGGGTTTAAGGATAATGTGGACAAAATGCACCAAAACAGTGGTATCACATTTAAAAAAGGCTAAAAAGGGCATAACAGTGTTGTTATAATATAGTAAGTACATTCAAGTGTTCAGGAAATACACGACATATTCATTCAAGAGTTCTAATTATACCCATGATATGCTCAGAAAAGCATATTGTAACATTATTTATCACGATAATTATATCATGATATCACCACATTCCAATTTAAGAAGCAGGAAACAAAATTACTATTAGACAAAAAAAATTAATCTATACGAAAGGTGCGAGGTGTCTGGCCATTAATTGAGTACAGAGCAGCAATCACTTGCTGCTCTGTACTCAATTAATGGCCAGAGCTTACTGCAAATCATAGTGTCTGTCTTGCTCTTGCAAATTAGTGTAAAATCCATCCAATTAAATCTCTCTAAAAGATTTGTAAGTTTAATATGAGTGTAGTCGTTAGTAGTTTTGCTTATGTAAATCAGTGCCATGACAGCACAAATAGAATATTTTTAACTGATTTGCAAGATATTCTCAGACTGTCTGGTCATTTTTCAGGCTATTATTTTCAGAAAAGAGTGGACTGGATTTCAGCAAATATGTTCTTAAAGATGGCAGAAACAGGTTTTATTCCAACAAAGCAGATCAACTATTTGTAGATCAACTGATTAAACAAGTGGTATGTGGCGTGCTCTAGCTTTATTGAAATGAAAACCAATCTTTGGGGATAAGATTGGACCCCTTGCAAGCTTGCAAGTTTTCACCTTGTTTCACCTTCCTTGGATTCAGTTTGGTGATCTGCCCACCAGAAGTGCATATAGCTATATCTTCAATGGCTTTCTCAAATGCTTCAGCTATTTTATGATTTCTTGTTGAGGTTCCATGCCATCTACAATGGCCTCAAAAAGTATTTAGACATTTTACCTATTTAACCACTGGTAAAAGTCAACAAAGTGCTTTAGGTTACTTCATAAAATGTTTTTGTTTCAGAGAAAAATACTTCAAATTGATGGTAGATGCTTTGTGTTTCTGGGTTTGCTCCACTCAGCTTACATTCATTGATGGGATCATTAACTCAGGAGTTTTTAAAGGTATTCTGGATGCAAACCTGCAGCAAAGAAACTGTTCAAATGATAACAATCTGAAACACATCAGCTGCTTCTGAAACAAAACTTACACAAAAAGAAAATCAGTCTTTGATTGATCTGTTTAAAATAAATGCCACTTGGTTATTTTGCCTTTTAAAACAATAAACTTAATATGGAGCACACGTCCAAAGGCTTTATGAAGCCACTGTATTTGTGCATTTAGTTATCCTGTTTCATTTTCAGAGCTCGCCAGAACTTAACCGGTCTAACTGAAAAATGGGCAGAGAATTTGAGGTAATGCCAGACTTAATCCATGGAGCATACAGCATTCCAAAAGGTCAATACGCACCTGTTCCACTCGCAGATCCACCGCTGGCAGATGTCCCACAAGCGGAGGTCCCACAGCCGTTAGAACCAGAGCCCATGGACCCGGAGGTGGCGGAACCTGTTCCAGAACGAGAGTCCTCCAGTAGAAGGATATCCAGCAGGTCGCTAGACGATGAGAGAGCATCACAGTGGTGGCCATTACCTGTTGAACCTTCATCCTGAAAACCAGAGAGAAAGCAGGGGGGTTTACCAACTCAGCTATTACTACACTCAACACTGCATTGCAGCTGTTTTTTCTTTTATTTTGTTATTTTGCACTACTGAAAAAAAACACCTGCTGTCCATTACATTGGTGTGAACATTTTATGATGATTTGACAACAGACTTAAAACTAGTGCTGCACATTAGGATTGAACTCATCAAGATAACCTATCAGGAAGTCACTTTATTGGTCATCTTTTGCTGTCTAATTTGTAGTATTTCCATTTACACTGTATAAGTTATTACTGAGTACAATCACTACAACTGTTAACAGAACAAGTGTGAATATCTCCTGGTCAAATTACATGTTTTGTTGAATTTCTAAGTAAAATTAGGTTCCTCTACAGAAAACAAATTTAAATATGACATTTCTACAAATTTTATTGTACAATTACTGTTTACTGAAATTATCATATTGGAAAAAAAATAAACATAAAATCGAAAAATGTGCCATAACTTTTTCACAGGCTGCATTTTTACTTTTTTTTTTACAATTTGTTAAATTCAGCCATTACACAGTAATTGTGCATTAAAATGTGCAAAACTGTGTTCTCTGTAGAGGATACGTTAATTTATTTTCACTCCAAAAATCAATAAATTGTGAAATTTGACCAGGGTGCCCAAACTTTAGCACACAACTGCAGGTATGTGAAAAAACTTAGATACTGGCATAGGCCCAGAATTCCTACACTGGTGCAGCCCTACTTAAAACAGTGCTAAAACTGAAAAGGGTAAAGGACTTTATAAATGTGTATAAATATTTAGACATACATTTGTTTCAAATAATATTTTCAGACAGAGGAAGTCCATGCTGTCACAAAGCACTGGCAGAAACGACTGCAGACACACAAACACATCCTGTGAGTGTGTGACACTTCTGCAGCATAAAGTGTGCATTTTTGATATGCTGGTCTGACGCAGTCTTTTGCCATAAATCAAATGGCATGTGATGGAAATGGTATGGAAGTGTAACAACGCAGTGAAAGAAAGGATTGTTACACTTTGCTGGCCGTCCACTATTTTGAAAGAGGTTAACACATGCTAACATTAAGGTGGTAGGTGAAAAAGAAATAGATTGAAGCATCATTGGAACAAAAAAACCCATGGCACAGGGGGTCCAGGCAGGCCATAGGTTTGGGACACCATCACCAACTTAAAAAATAAAAGGGTCAAAATAATCAAGCAAAACAAAGGCGAGCAGATGCTTTGCTCCAATAAGATGGCAAGGAGGTCAGAAGTAGGAGAGGAGCAATAAGGGAGCATTTCATTACATGATGGGCCTACCTCTTCGCTGGGACATCTGAATTTAGAGAAAACTCTGTCCCATAAACCCTCTCCATCTTTCTCTTGCTCCCTGGACAACAGGGGGCCTCGTTGGGGGGGCGGGATCAGAGGATGCCCTGGCCCATATCTGGCCCCTACTGGACCATGCGAAATGAGTGACAGCTAAAAGGTGCAAGGGACACAGGGGTTAGCACTGAAATGTCTACTACTCTTTTGCAATGGTTTCACTACTATGTTTCATTATATTTCGGTTATCATTTTAAACACTCAAAATTTAATGTGGTATAAAAAACACATGGTTTACAACTTGTAATAAAGATGAATTTAAGATGCGTCCATATAATGACATTTATGGGACAACCATGCCCCAAACCAGACCAACGCAATGATGGTCAACATAGTATAGCTGGTCTTTCACACTGATGAAGTGTCTCAAATTAAAGTTGGGAGATTAGGGCTAGATCAGTGTGAAAAAACGTCTATCCAGTGCAGTGAGCTGAATGACCTTAGCGTAATTGTGGACAGAGCAAAGAATAAGATGAATAAAGGAATAACTCTGGTTGCTCTCTTGAATATTTGGTGTGATGCACAACACTGCCACTTGGTGGCAAGAAGTGGTGATTACAGGTGGAGAGAGGGAATCGGAAACAAGTGAGTGAAGGTAAAAAGACAAGGAGAGAAGGAAACATAGAAAGACAGAGAAATATAGAGAGAGACAAAATCTCAAATGGTTCCCTACTACATGTGTAGTGCACTATATTGCTATGAGACAATAGCTTGTGCAACTTTCTAAGGCTGGCTTTACATGGTGACACTTTCATTTTTGACTTTAGCTGCTTGAATCCTACAAGCACTTGAGTTGCATAATGAAAAACGTGCTGCAACTCATTTGAAACTCAGCCACAATAGTTGCACAAGTGAAACAAGTTTCATGAAACAGAGAATCAAAACACCAGAAACGTATCACGTAATCACATCGAGCGACATACTTTCAAACCTTGATTTCACCAGAAGAGGAGATAAGAAATTGGGTAGTTGAAAAAGAGACCCCCCCCAGCTGACTCTAAGTTTTTCATTTTGTCAGTTTGCTGAGGCATGACAACAAACATGAGCTTCTCAAAGCCAACGTTTCTGTAACCAGCTGCGTTAACCAGCCAGCTAACGCTAACAGCTGTTTAAACGGCTGTTTGTACCACTATTTATTCTTCTTTAGTCTGTTACCATGTTCTACACAGCTATATTCATTTCCTCCTCTCTTGAGGACTCTAATTTTACACAGAGCTCAGATTAATTTGGGATCCAAAGAATGAAAATTAAAGGGGTGAGTGAGCTGCAGTCCATGATAAACCTGTAGTGTTTCTAGGACAAGTGAGAGGTCAAGTAGGCTATAATGGCTGCTTAAACATTAAATTTCAAAGGCCTGACATACAAACAACAGGTAAAAACATATTTTAAAAAACCCAAGATAAATAGATAAAGATATGTAGATATGGGGAAAAAGAGTGACAGCTGGAAAAAAACATAAAGATGCAAATATGTAAATCACATCTTGCTTATTTTTTTCCAGCAAGAATGAAATATTGTATTAAAAAAAATGAGAGCTGCTAATTTAGCTAATTTGTGGAGTAACAATGTATTGTGCGCAACTTTGAACTTTGAATTGCTTCATCTAAGTGTCAAGTTGCATGGAAATTATGTTTTCACAGTTTCACTGTGTAAAGTCCAGTAGGGAGACATTTGGATTTCAGTCTGAGTCATTCAGAAGATTCTGGGAAACCATACCTGTTTTTTGTCACTTTTGCCCTGCGTGCCTGCATTCCCTCCTTTCTCTGCCGCAGCAGTGCAGTTCCCCTGGGCTTGAGAAGAGGGTGCCGAGCTGTCCTGTCGCTCCACAGACCGCTGGCTCTCCTCCAGCTGCAGCAGGTTGAGCTGCAGGGGCGAACTGCAACGAGACTGAAAGAGGGGTGGAGAAGACTGGTCCCGCCCACCCACTGATTGAGGAGTGGAGCTTCGGGATTGACCCTCCCTCAGCTCCGTCTCTGCGGGCTTTGGCGGGTCACCTGTGAGCGTGTAGGGGAAGGACTGGGTGGGGAAGGGTGTTGGCGGGGTGAAGGGATTTTGCGTGGTGAACTGAGTCTGTACAGGAAATGTCGTCTGGGGCTGGAATGAAGCCTGAGGGGGGTACACAGTCTGTGGGGGATATGATGGCTGGGCAGTGAAGGTCCCTTGCTCTGGGTAGCAAGGCTGCCGGGGAGCACTTCCTATCTGTGGGAACATATAGTTCGGCAGCACCAGTGCCACCATGGGTGTGACCAGAGGGGCTGAAAAAGGTGGCTGGATGGGTTGGACGGGGCAGCGTGGGTCCTGGCTGCACTGGCTGTCCCCAAATCCTGAGAGTGAGGTGTCCACCCGGGGGGCCATAATGTTGGTCCCTGGGTAAACTTGGAGCGGGTATGCGGGCATCATAGCTGGGTACGCGATGGGATAGGTGGACTGCGAGGTGTCCGATGGAGACCAGGAGGTTTGGTTCAGGCCCTGTAGCTCTTGCCTGGACAGCTGCTTCCTGTGTGAGACAGTGCTGTCGGACGACTCATTCTGCTTGACGCGCTTGGACTTTGTCTTCTTGTTGCGACCCCCTCGGCGAGGGGCGGGTTCCGTGACTCCCCCCTGTTTGACTACACGAGCGGGTCCAGCTGTTTAAGAAAGGAGGGAATGGGGGTAGAGACAGAACTTTCTTAAGGCTGCTTATCAAGGGTGTAGGTGTACTATAAAGGCTGCTTTATGAGACGTAATTACATTTCTTAGACACATTCTACTGCCTCTCTGTGAATCACAGTAAACTTTAGAAGTCGCCAGTAAAAGCAAACACATACTGTAATTTTATAGTATTTGTCACTCGTAGCTCATTGAAACATTTCTGATAAATTGTAATGAGTGTACATATTCAAAACCTGTTCATAAGCAGAATAGGAGCTGTTTTGTTGTGATTTGAATTTGATTAAAATGTATTGTTGTGCAGTCATTTAGTAGATCTTTATAATTGTGCCATGTTTTTGTTATTGACATTGAAACTAATGGAAAAAAGTCTGAACGTGAACCCAGAATGTAAAAACAATTCATTATCTACTGATTTCTATCATCATGAATACTCAAGAACCATTTGTATGCTTATATGCATCATGAAAAGGTCCTTTAGATTGATGGAGAATGTGTTGTGTATTGTTCTATATAGAACCATTTTCAAAGGGGTTCTATATAGCACCAAAAAGGGTTGTGCTATTGCTACAACAGATAAACCCTTTTCAGAAGGGTTAAGGGTTAATCAGAACAAATTTTAAAAGCCATACTCATTTTTACCAGAACCAGTTTTACCAAAATCAAAATGATTTACCAGCTAAAGAAGGGCTTTGGGCTGTCACTCATCACTATGTAACATATCTACAGTCGTCTAGCTATGCAATATCTATTCTCCATAAACGTTTGTCAGGTTTAATGGAAATTTCTACTTATTGTACGTCTTAAGGCAGGATTGCTATAACGTTCACTTACAAAGATAGAATCCTAACCATCCGTTTATTTATCTTTTTTCTTCTTCTACTCGTTATCTGTCTTGGGAAATAAAATTTTGGCAAATTAACAGCCAACATGTAATTCAGTTGGTTGAGTCAGCGCTTACGTTGCCAGGATGGCAGTTCACCCACTCCTACTCTTTCACTGGTACGTGGGCTCAGAATAGACTTACTTGGGCTTCGGTGAAACACTGACATTTTCTTCCAAGCAATTCATGAGTTTTTGTTGAAAATAGCTTTGCTAACTGAATTTTCCATAACTTTTTTGGCAGTTTTTAACAGGGTATGGACAGTGCCTTCTCAATGCTGTTCATTTTTAGTTGGTACAGCTAAAATTAATGAACATTTTGAAGGGCCCACATCATGTATCACATATCATTAAATACCAGAGATTGCTGTAGTACATAAACACTGTTTAAGTTTTAAAATTTACTGTTGATATGAAAGTTAAGCTGCACAAGCAGCCTGTTTTGGATTCATTGGACCTCATACACCAACATTTCTTAAGAAGTAATTTCTTCTTAAAAGCCACTTATGCAGTTTTTCTTACATTCACCAATGGTTTGTTATTTGGGATTTGTTCTTAGGTAAGAACAGTATCGATGCACACTGAAGAGCAAAATGGTGCAAATAATTCTAGTGGTTTAAGAACACGTCATGAATCTGATATAGACTTTTCCTTAAGACCTTTCTTAAGAACAAATTTAAGAAAATCTTAAGAAGATACTGGTAATTGGGGTCCATTGTTTTGTGATGTCACAAAACCAATGCACTTACATATATATCCACCTATTTAGCCTACCGCAGTTTAGCCCTGCCCACTCACATTGAGGTTAAGAGTGTTTCAGACTTAACTGCTTTTTAAGTGAGGCACAATACAGGGCAGCCAATCAGAACATAACTCATTTACATACAACAGCCTTAAAGGCACAGTAATAGAAACAGCTAATTTAATTCTAAGGGATAAAGAGAGGTTGGAAAATGGTGATGTAGAAATGAATTATGACTGTATTTGGTACATAAAACCACACAAGTGTGTGGGCTTCAAGGAAAACAATAAAATACAAGAAGAATGTATGATATGGAACCTTTAGAGTGTAGGTTCATTATTCAATAACTACTATAAATTTTTCTACTGCTGTAAAACTAATATGAATGTCAAGTAGTTAAGTAGGGAACTCAAATGTGGGACCCTTGCAGTTTAAGCTGTTTTACTTACCATCAGATGTGACCTGTCCTTTCTGCCTTTCCAGGTAGAGGGAGCAGTCTGCTTTAAAAGCATGAACTCCCCTCAGCTCTCTGAAGCGGCTGAGGAAGGCCTGCTCCTCTTTCTGAGTGTGGGCTGCCAGCACCTGCTTCGTCAGGCCCAGTTTCTTATAGGCCTCCCTTTCCTGGCTGGGAGGCGAAACTGCAGCTGGGGGAACAGCCAGAGCAGGCCCCTCTGCTGTGTCAACAGCACTAGGGGCATCCTCAATGATCTCTGTATGGGGAAAAAACAGGACCATGTTCAAAGGTAGACAATGAGATGACACGACTACACTATGAGCTTACACTGCCTCTCTGAGAATGGCTATAGGTTTTACTGCAGGTTATGTAATCTTTGTACGCAAAGTTCAGCATCATTTAGGTATTATTCAGGAATGTTTCATCTAAAATACTAATGCAGGGATGGCAATACTAATCCTGGAAAACCAGAGATCAGCACAGTTTGGTTTTCAGCATCATGTAAAAAGCAGAAAACATATATTTAACAGAAAATTACAAAGAAGTCTCAACAACTGAATATATTTTTTCAGTATTTAGTGTGTCCACTCTTTTCCTTTATTAGAGCTTCTATTTTTGCTTCATTCCGTTTCTCAGTAATGGCCTCTTGATCTACACACCCTTTTCAAACCCATAGCATTGAGTTTTCTCACACTGGGGGGATGAACAGAAACATTTTCAGACCTGAAGGAAGAGTAGAGCGTGATTTTCTTCTATTTCTCAAAGATGAAAGCTTTAAGCACTGTTTATCTGACGGTGACAGCTGTGGTGGTCAGCCAGGTCTTTTCTCAATAGCTCTTATTTGTTTTTTTGGCTCCCAGTTTAGTGTGCTGATCTTCAGCTACAGGGCCTGCAGCTGTGCAACTCTGTACTAATGCAATGCTAATAATGAATGAAGGCATAATATTTTGTGCACTACCTCTCAAGCATAGCAAGTAACTCACACTCTGGAGAGTACAGGTCTTTTTAGCTTACGTTTTAAGTCTGTTTAGAAAATAAATACAAGAATGTACAAAGTGTACACAGATTTCTACTAAGACTTACTTTTACTACTACTATGCTACCCCCAGTACATATCAAGATTTTTTTTATTTCAACTTGATTTAGTAATTTATTAATTCCCAGATTTTGTCCTGGTTTTCTCAATCCAGATTACATAATAATTGTTAATGTTCAAACTACCTGACTCTGGTTGGAGTTTCTTGTCCCCAACGTGTACAATGGTGCTGCTGTAACTACACTGGCTGGTGATGGATACCACACTCTCAGCTTTACTGGGTAGAGCCAGTGGGGTCAGCGACGTGCCCACCACACCCGAGCTGGCTGGCTTTTCTGAGACGTCTAGAGATGAGAGGCTTGCTTGCGGCTTCAGGTGACCAGACTCTGAAGGGTAAAAAGACAGAGGATCAGTTTTTTTATTTTTTAAACAGGTTTATATATGTTTACTTGCTTAGGCATCAGTCAACAGAAAGACATAAGGATATTTATAGAGCTATATACGCAGAGTTTCATATTGCAAATACAATGGACCAGACTATAGCCCATATTTGGGACTGACTCACTCTTTTTAATGTGTCCATTGGTAATTTAATCCAAGACTAGTAGAAGTAATCGATATGTTGAAGTCCATCCAAGTGAGTTTAAAACACGCAACCATTTACTTGAGAATATTTATGCTTTTGTTGATTAGGGAAAACAAATCATTGGATAAACTAAATGTGTCTATAACTATCACACTATTGCTCGGATATTTCCAGAAGCGCATCTTATCAATTATATTAGATCTTCTTGAGCCACATAAGATTAGAGTGCCTCAGCTTGTTTGGAGAATTTTCTACACTATGAAAATACCTGAATCAAAAGACAGATTGCCCTGGTAAAGCACTGGTAAACTGTGAGTATGTGTTTTTTTTGGTACCTTCAGCCACTTTCATTGAGCTCTCAGCAGCCTTCTGCTTGTCCTCGTCTGAGTTTGAGGAAGTGGTGTTGGAGGATGACGGACACTTCCTTTTCACTGTGATAGGCACATTGCAGCTCTCTAGATATCTGAGAAAGAGAGAGAGTTTTCTTAAGACTTTCCAATTAAATGTCAAAAAAACTATACTGCTATAATGCTAATTTCTGCTACCGTCCCTATAGGATTCTAGTAACATGTTAGCGTTAAGATAACAGTGATTTAGATAAACATTTTTGGCCATTCAAGATTAAAAACGGACATTGTAAAAGACATTCTATGTTTTATGTGAAGCTTGTAACAGACATTTTAACATATTTTTAACTTGGTAGCAGTTTAACAGTGACTCAGTAAAGAGCCCTGGCATAGAGCTGTCGCTGTGAATTTAACCCTTTTGTTTCTAGTCAAACCTTAACACTCAAACAAAAGTAGGACTACAATACTGGCAAAGGTTGAGTACAACAAGCATGAAGATTAAAAATAGTTCAGAAAGTTAGAATAGAGGATTCTTCTCTAGTTAAATACTAGTTAGGCAAAGTCAGAAAAACATGAACTGTGGAGACCCATTCACAAAGCAAAGGTATTATTAACATCATTGTTGTAAGTAGTTGCTTTGCTAACAGTCCTTATTTTTCTCTGTTCAATGTTCAACTTTTCAAGTCAAAAATTATTAAGAAAATTGTTTAGCAGTACAGGCAGAAAAAGAAATGAAAATGTATTGTTTATTTTGAAATGAGAGTTCAGAGCATGTTGTACCTGATGACACTGTCCAGGCAGCTGATTTGCTGGTAGGAGTAGACAGTCTGGTCTTTAAAGGTGAGCTCCTCCTGTACTGTGGTCTGCTGCTCATCCACACTCTCTCTCCAGTTCACTGGGTAAGCTGAGTCTTTGGGCCGAACTGCTGGACTCTTTTGGAGTACCTCTGCTAGAGAAAGAGTGAGGTATTCACATTCTGAGTTATATGCCCAGACATTCACACAAGCTGCTGTTAAGGCCGATAATCAGCACAATCAGATTTTCTCTCACACATACAGATACTAGGGATGTGCATGTTTACTTGAGCACTCTGTTAACTGTTCGGGAAGATGAAGAAAATAAACAGACTAATAATTCAGTAAAACAGACTATGGAATGTTACATTTTTGCTTGTATATGCGAGTAAGTGTACTATATTATACTTTGTGTGAATGTGTTGCCAAAGTAATAAGCTAAGCCTACAGACATACATTACTGACACTTCTTTTTCTGTTATTTTTTTCCTTAACCAATTATCCATTCATTAACTCTTAAGGCTACTCAAATTTCAAATGCACATCTCTAACAGATACCGAGACACAGATGTTTGTACTTACTGGCTGAATTCTTTTTGGACTGCTGTTCCTGGTTCTTCAGCATATGAACCCCCTTGCAGATCTCCTGAAAGGTTCTCTGTGGAAACAAGCACACACATTCATATAGTACTCTGTACAATGTAATCTTGTGACCTTTCCAGCCCTGAGGAGTCAGTTGTGAGGAGTTAGGTTAGGACTGTCAGATACCCAGTTTTTAAAATAAAGGCTCTCAAATGTTTTTTGGCTTGGACTTTAGGCCTGTCACAATTATTACCTAATTATTTAAGCTTACTGCTGTTATTTAAACTGACTGCAGTTGTTTTCCACAGTTGTTAGCTTTTGCAAACACATTATGTGAAGTGTGTGGGTTTTGTTGGCTGAGGCAAATACATGTAAATAAAAGAAAGCAGAAAACACATTTATTAAGATGTGTCATGGGTCTTAGGAAACAAGTTCTAATTTCTGACTTGTCACTATAACTCCTTTAGAGGGCACTGTTGAGTAATGTGCAAACTTTTGCATAAGACATTAGAATTGAGCCCAATTATCAAATCTCCAAATTGCGTGTTCATCTTTGCACAAGAGTAGTTTAACCAAATTATTCTAATGTGGTTATAAGTTAATGAAAGCCTCTCAGCATGACTTCAATCATATTTGCCAAATCAGCACTATTTAGTTGAATCTCAGTTTAAAATTTGAAGGACTGTGATGAAAGATGTAGATCAGAAGCCATGTGACAAAGTGAGAGAGTGATCATGTGACTCACTGGTTTGGCTCTGCTGCCCTCCTCATTCTCAGCGCGTGGACGGGTTCCGTTACCGTTGCTCTCGCTAGATGAAGCCACGCTCATCAGATGATCGTTACTGCCAAGGCTGCCGTAGCCACTGGAGCCGTTATTATGTACTGGCTACATGCACACAAACACAGATACAGGGGTTACTGTTGTTGATTGTGGTGTCTCTCTTAATGAGGTATGTGCATTCTTCATTCCCACTCAAAAATATATCTTGGGATGTTAGTTTAGGGTCATGCAAAGGCTCAGATTAATTACAAAATACCTGGTGAAACTGAGCTGAGGAGAGTTTTGGATTAGAATTAGGACCAGAGTTAGGGTTTAGGGTTAGGTTAGTATTTAGGGTTGGAGAAAAGTTAAGCTCAATTTAACAAATATTTAGTTAAATGTCAGCTATAGACAAGAGGGTACAATAAAGATCTACAGGGGACCATCAAAATAAAGTACGACCTTCATCTTTATAATAACTTGTGTAAACTGTTAGAATTCCTCCAGAAAGTCTTCTCTCTCTTTCTCTTTGTTGACTGACCTGTAGCAATAGCCGATGTATCTGCTCAGTGATTTCCTGGATGTCTGAGTCCATTACTTTCCCCTCTGCTGTTGCTGGAGCTGCAAACACATCCTCATTCACGGGGCCCCTGAGGCAAAATAATCACCCTCAGTGATCAAACAAATAAATCTCAACCATTACTTTCACCATATAAGAGTCTGCTCAGGGATTTCTCAGTAAAATTATGAGTAAAACTAAAACACTGAGCTCTGATTACAGTGCAGTTATCTATTCGCTGGCTTCATGTTATGTAATCAAAAGAAGCTACTCATTAGACTTCATCTAACCTAATTTAAACACTGTGGAAACTAACAGAAATGCTTTTATATGGCAATCAAAATTCTTTTGCCATGTAAGTTTACTTACAGTGAACCAGACACGGTTTTAGACCAAAATAGCCTAAAGGTTTAAACCCAGCTTACAATAAACGATAGAATTAAATCCTCAACTGTTTCAGAGATTCAAGTGGACCAACACATCCAGTGGACACATCTGGCTCATGAAACAGGTCACATACTCACATGCGGACTTTGTGTCGTCCAATGACGAATGATACTTTGCGGCTCCAGGGGTTGACAAAGCTGGACCAGCTGGTATCTATGGTGACGTACTCTCCATTCCTCGTACAGAACCGGATGGACGAGTGGTCAAAGGGCTGACCGGCATACTGAAGGACTATGGAAGAAAAAAAAATGAACAAGCAAATCAAATCTGGACTCATGCCAAACGATAAACCGTTTCAAACAGTCAAGAGAAAGACAGTACAGCAGTGCATTCTTAAATGACACCATGATTAAATTAAAGTACATCACAGAATAATGTACCGTAGCCACTGCAACATCACAATGGCTGACATATGCAGAGTCTCTTGTATTCTACAATTACTTTTTTTCACTTAAAAAGTTGCAACACAACTCTTCCTTCAGTTTTCCAGCTAGAAACACAAAACGTTTAAGTACTGTAGAGCCTATACCCAAATAGGTTGCCTGTGCTTTTTCAACCGATTTGGTTTACAGTGTTCAAACACAATTTGTTTTCTATAAGAAAGAATGGGGGAATGCTCAACATCCTGAAATCGCATCATTCCACTTACAATATATAATTATTGTACCTCTACTCTTATTCCATCATGGCCAGTATACACGCTGTAGCCAAATGTTTTTGAACACTCTTCTCATGTCACCATCACCATTAAGTATGCTAGCAATACCTTAACCAACTGGGATATCATAGCAATGGCCAAGCAGCATTTAAGCAACTCAACTGGGGTACTACAGCAGCACCTTAGCAACTACCTGTAATTACTATATAATCCCATTTAAGCTATAAAAAAGGAATCAACAGTGTTCTGCAACTGCTTTAACTTTTAAAGCATTGTCATGACAATGCTTTAAAATGAAAACACTGCACTGGCACTGTCAAGACAAATTTTGTTCACAAACTTTCCCTCTACTTTGCAGCTGTGCTGTTATTTCATTCATTTTACTATTAATAAAAGTTGTAACCGTTTAGATCTCCAATGGTTTGATTTATTTCCTCTGTAAAGCCTTGAAAAGTGCAAAAATATGATTATGCAAATATTATTGTTATTATTATTATTATTATTATTATTGCTTTCTAACATGAGAGATTATATGGGCACATGAATAATTCCTGAAATCTGAAATCTCTGTGGATATTATTAAAGGAGCAACACTTACTCTTCCTGTGAATCCCCAGCATGATTGGTCGATCATTTGGGTGCAGGTGCAAGAGCACTGGCGTACCAATAAGATCCTGCGGTAAGTATCCCAACAATGGGACAGCCCTGAGAAGGAAAAAAATCTCATTCACACACCTGTTGAACAGTCCTGAAGACATAAATACTGTTTTATTGTTGACTGTAGCAAAATTATGTTGCAGAAGTGGATTTTACTACAACTTATTCTTCATATTTTTAAGCCGGGTGAGTTATTTGTCAAAAACATCATAACATCTTTTCAGTGTAAATATAAAATATACCAGCAACCCAGTAGCACGACGTTTAAAAAGACCATGTACAACTAAAAGACTGAGTACAATATTTTTTGCAAAAATTAACTAATTAGAAAGGGTCAAACACCTGGTCAAAAAATTAATTAATAAAATAAGATAACAGCATAACAAGCTGCCATCTAATCAGCTACTTGTTGCTGTGTAGTTACTATACAGTTACTATATTCATTTTGTACCATTTTTATGGTACATGCAGTTGTTTAGTGTGCATGAAGTATTGATAATACACTCAGAAAAACACATCATGTTATTTATAACATGACTATATTTTATTATTTATTATATGACAATAACATATCACAATTTTACCCCATCCATTAATTACATTCTTTTTTATTTAGCAGAAGAGCTTCCGGGAAAAACCATTTGGTATGAAGGACCTGGTTTGAGGTCAGAGGAGTAGCTAGAAAACAAAAACAAGCCCAAGACCCATAATCAGATAAAGTGAACAAAAAACCAAAAAGCTCTCACCTCTCATCAACGTCCTGAAACACACAGTTGGGTGTATGTGTGGTGGTAAAGATGCGTTTGTCAGTGGGGATCCTTGGAGCTGAAAGATCAAACATCTACATGTCAATGCTGGCACTGTTACAGTGACATTTCTGCCATTAATAGCATTTTTATAGACATTTCTGTTTTTGGTAGAGCAACCCAGACAAGAAGGCCCCTCAGTGGGCTGTAGAGGTACTGCCAGGGGGCTGTTCGCCTTTTTTTTACCACAAAACTTCACTATAATATATAAACATTTATTAAAATAATTTTAATATTATTTTTTATAATATAAAATGACATATTTTCAAGAATAATACATCAAAAATACCTAAATATTCAGATTGAGCTCAGTAATTGGTCTGCCAATATGCATGACTGATGTAATGAACAATGCTTGCTAGATGTAGTCGTATGCAAAAGTGTGAACACTCCTGGTCAAATATATATATATATATATATATATATATATATATATATATATATATGTTTACACACACAGACACACACACACACACATAAATATATCAAGTTAGTATGGGACAGCTTTTCACTTTGGTTTCTTTAAATGTTAAAGTCTGGTGGGTAAACCTGCAGACAACCTTTCACAGAAAAATTAATATCAAAAAATAAACAATATTTAAATCTGGATTCTGACCAGGCCAAAACCATCAGTAAAACCACTATATTTTGGACTTTGCATATTGTTTTTGTATGGGAATGCAGAAGAAGAGATATCTTACTATGATCTGAATTTGATAAAAAGTTTTTGTTGTGCGTACTTCTTGTGATGAAAGAAAAACATCCATTTTCTTTCCATTGCTTGAGTGATTACCAATGTGATTACACTTTGAATAGCTTTTACATGCTTTTGCAAGCTTTTACTTTGACATGCTTACTGACCTTCATAGCCTGAGTGCACTCTTTCAGCCAGCAGGAGGCAGCAGAACTGATCTTCAGTGTGCTCTGTATCCTGTACTTTCATCAGGTACGGAGTCATTCGAAATGGGTAATACTGCAAATCTCCCTCACACTCCTTACCACCACTGCAACAGAGAATAGGAAAGAGTTAGAATATACAAACAAATGCACACTGCTTGTCAAAAGTTTGGGGACACTCAACTTTTCAATTTATTTAAAAAAAACGAGCATGCTTTCTTTGTCTATTTCAAATAACTTACTATATTAAATAGAACACTGAAAAAAAATGCTAAAAACCCTACCTTAGGAAAAATGACGTATCCCAGACATTTTATACGCTTATTGTGATTTCAGTGTGTAATACTAAGATCTTTTAGATGTTTAAACCACCTTTGAGCCAAAAGATTCTTAATGGGCTCTTAACAATAGTTTGGAAAAGAAAGGTCAAATCATTATTTAGGCAAAACAAGCTCTTCATATCAAAGAAGACACTTTGATGAACATGAAGATGAATATTACTGACTTAAATATTTGTGAATAACAGTTAACAAACCAGCTTTTAGTAGATATTAACAGTGTTAACAAAACCTTTGCAGATATAATGAACAGTAACAGTGAGAAAACAGTACATGTTCTCAGCTCTGTTGGAAACCTACCCTGACGAACTTGTATGAACACACAAACACCCCGCCTTGTCTCCTTGACGAGCACGTATAAACACACAAACACACCCAGCCCTACACTCAATCCCTACAGTGAAGTCATTTTAACATGATTTTGTATCATGTACTATGGAGCAAAAAATGAATGACAGCTATAGAAAGTGATGTGTGCCATTATTTATGTTAGAACTGCATTTTTGCAAATTTGTGAATTATAGCAGGGGTATAAAATGCATGGTCCATGTCATTATTCCAGCACTGTGTTGTACTGTATGGTAGCATTGGTAGCATGTGGCTAGTGTGTTAGCTTGAGGCACACAAAAGTTTGGAATCACTTTTTTAAATGTTACAGATAAATGTATGAAATGACTCTATTTTAATGCTACTACATGTTTCAACAGATTATTAGAAAGCTGTAAATCCAGACTGCTTCATATTCAAAATGTCTCGAATGAAATCTCAGGCAGATATCTTACCAAGAAATTACTACAAATAAATAATTACAGTATATTATTAATCATGTAGTAACTTTTTTGGTGTTCCAGTATATAGCTTATAGTTTCTCAATCTACACTGTAACAACAAATAACAACAAATATTGATATGACTCTAAACTCTAAATTCTAAACAAATATTAATTTGACTCTAAACTTTTGGACACTAGTGTATTAACTTGAGACTAGAGTGGTAAATCGTTGTATAACACAGCTTTTGTTTAGTGTATCTATGCTGGTAAGAAATCAGTCAAAATGTTGTACTTTATAATGCTGAATGCTCTAATATAATGAAAATGTAAACATTAAAATATTACCATAAGGAATATTTTCAGGTGCTCTTTGTTTTTGCTGTATCAAAAAATCCACTTAATCTAGACGCCATATCGAACTGCGTAATAAACCAAAATTTGAATTTTGTTAATCGTTACCTTCCAAAAAGGTAGCACTTTTTTCAGTTGTTTCTTCAGTTTTGCAGTCTCTGCAAAACTGGCGAGATCTAAACAGCTTTACATTAAATATGTTTGAATTATTGCAAATGAAAACATACTCATCAGGCACAAATGAAGTGGGGGTGCTGAAATTGCTAAAAATAAATAATAGAGCTAAACTTAAAACTAATTTAAATGTAGTACAGACCTATATCTCCATGTTTTAGAGAGGAGCTGGTATTTTTATGTATTGCACATATATTTTAAAAACCTTTAGTTAAGTTAAACGAAAGTTAACAATGTATTGTGGCGTCTGCCACAGACTCCACGCAGGCTTAACTCCTTAATGTGCAATGTTTTCCACATCTTCTAAATTGATGCTTTCATTACAGTAAGCTGAATTGCTTCCCTCACCCACTGCTGGCCGCTTTGGTGGCTTTACTAAAACTGGCTGCCATTGTTTCTTAAACTTTAAAACCATAGTGATGTTCCACACTTTGAATACATTCTCGTTCTTTCTCCCACTCTGAGTGTGTTTTGAGTGTGTGACTGTGGGTGTGATGCAATTAGTTACTGCATCACACATCAACAATCTGACTGGACGTCAGTCAACTCATTGGCATTACAACTGTCTGGAAGGAGAGACAGCAGCGAAATCAGGGTGTGCATCAGTGGTTTAATGTGTAAGTTATGTGGGTATATTGTTGTCTCTCACCACATTATGGCATGCTCTGTGTGATGTACATTACAAAAAAAATTTCAAACAAAAAAAAAAAAACAGCAAATCATTTTGCATGAGGTCACCGCTCATGTCACGTATGTACTGCTTAAAATTTCAGAACCCCCAACTTAAAACACCTTCCCACATCCCTGACACTCATTCATTTAGGGCATAACAAGACACTTAGTCCACGATTCAATTAGATTCACAATACTGTGCTCACTATTCAATATTCTCATGATATTTTGAATAACATTTGCATGAAGAAATTTGAATAATGATGATGATCACCATTATCATGCTGTTGCACAATTTACTATAGCGACACTAGAGCTGAGGGGCAAGAGGAGTGCTGGAGTGAGCAGTGTGTACAGTTTCTGTGGTAATGGCAGGTGTATTAGGATGTCTGTTCCTGTTTACCCGGCATGCTGCTAACTAATTACACTGAGCTCATCCAGAAAGGAAAGAGCACATGAATCAATCATGCCGGCCAGACGCAGGTGCAGGCAGGGACGCTTTAACCCGCTCGTGGGCCCTGGGGCTTCAGGTGGCTGTGGGCCCTGCGGGTATGGTTACACACAGCATCCAAAAATTTAAAATGCATGTTTTTCATTAAGGTGCACATACTGCGACCGTCAGTCAGCAACTTCCATTCATTATCGCTCCATTACTGCTCAAACTTAAACAAAGCTGAAGTTAGCTTCTTACCTGCCTGGTTCATTTTCAAATTCTCCATTTCATTTAAATGGTGCCGCAAGATCATTCTGGCACCTGTGACTACTACACCATTTAAGGTGGAACAGAGAATTCAAATAAGAAGCTGACAAATAGGATGCCAGTTTCAGCCTCACCAAACTTGAACTCAGAACCAAAACACTAAGACATAGTCACTTAGGTTTGAAATTTGCATTGAACTTGAGATGAACTTCAAAAATGGATGATTACCAAAGGAGAACTTTAGAAGCGCAGATTGTGTGGAAAAAGTCCAGAGAATGCTATGCACTCTTTTTTTTGTTGTATAATACTGGGTGCCAGTGTTGTAGTACTAAAGTTTGGCAATTATTACTATGTTTTCATTCAATAATAAAAATGAGTGAATGCTGTTTGGTTTATATTCAGTTGACCTGAAGTGGCGATTCTAGAGTTTTAGAGAAGAAGAGACAGAAAATAATCTCACTATCATTTGCTTTTAAGAGTTAAAATGCAAAGTTGGACTAAGACTATTATTTAATTATTAATAAGATTTTTAGGCTATCTACTACTAAATATTATATTCTACAAAATATGTTTTTTTTTTAAATATATATCATATATAATAAATGATAATGAATGTCCAGTGAACTACAACCACATTGCAGCTGCCCTTTCTTCTTTTTATTTTAATATTCTAAAAATCTGGTCTCCCCACTCCTGGTCTGTCTTGATTTGGACTCAACTACTACAAAGTCTCAGTCTTGACTCCGACTCAACTATGACAGGGTCTTGGTGTTGACTCGACTAATACAAAGTCTAAAACAAAGGTCTGGATTCGACTTGATGTGTCCAGTTCTTGGTCTTAACTCAAACCTTGTGGCCTTGACTTTGACACTACTGGGAGCACCTGGAGTTTAACAATGAGGCATCTGGTGTCCATGGCCGCCAAAAGATCAACATCTGGTTGATCCACGGCTATGGTTAATGGCAAAAGTTTGGAAAACTGAGGTCTTTACGGAACATTCCACTATCCACTGTGGTACGCTGCTGTCACCACTGATGGGGCAGAATTTTCCTTTGCTGATCCATTCAAACAACAGAATATCTGGTTTTCTGACGTTCATCTACCATCATAAAGTAAATGCAGCATGAGCTCATCACGCTCAATGGCAAGAATCTGCCAGAGGGGTATAAAGCCCCCCAGCACTGAACTGTGAAGCAGTGGAACTGCATTCTTAGAGAAATGGGGCATCAACTAATGACTTCAGGATAGGCAGAAGTGGCATTTGTGATCCAAAACTAATCTTCCAACATCAGTGCCTGACCTCACTAGTCCTCTTGTGGCTGAATGGAAGCAAATGCTTACAATAATGTTCAAACATCTGAGAAGAGTAGAGACTGTTACTAGAGCAAAGAGGGACAAACTCCCTATTAATACCATTGATTTCAGAAGAAAACTTGGATGAGTTGATGTCTACAAACGTTTTTGATATATAATGTATGTACATATGCTCACCTGATGCGACAGAAGAAGGACTTTTCTTGCATGCAGTCAGAAGGTGAGGATTCTGTATGGGGGGGGAATCAGACAAACTAGTTGTTAATTCAAAAGACAGCTACAAACATGAGATAACTCTGCACTAAGCAAACACCGGTCACTATAGAGAGGTAATTCTAGCTGCAGCTGTTTGAGGCCAAATTGACTGACCCAACAATCAGGAAGAATGGAGCAGACAGAATAACATTAATATACAATCTAACCTTGCCGTACCTGATTTAATGAAAGACAGGCAGCGTCTTCTCATGAGTAAAAATATCTCTCAAATAATTGTTTTACCTCTACTTCTTTTTTTCCATGGAACAATCTCTGAATCCCTGTAACCTTTCAAAGACAACTTCTGTGCTTATCTACTTACCCTATCTGAATCAACACAAACTGCACACATGCATACTAATTTAGAACACGACAGTGAATCCAGTTCCGGAACCAAGCTTTTTTTCTGCACTTCCCTGTGGTCTAAAAATGACTTCACTTCAGTGGTAGATGGAAAGAGTTGGCTTTGGAAGTGAGGAGATCATGAGAGAATGACGCACTCGTTTGCAGTGGGGATTGGAAATCCCAGAGAATGAATCAACGCTATTGTGGGCTGATGTGTGAAGTGCCTGTGAGGGTGTATTCGGCGCGGGAGCTGTGAAAGAGCATCTGCGTGTTCAGTTCATTTTTATATATATCAAATATTGTGTGTGTATGCGTATCTTGGGTGTGTGTGGCAATCACAGACACCCGCGTGTAGCTGTGCGGGTGTATATAGTACTGTGCACAAGTCATTTCATTCGATTTCCACTCAGCCATTAAGTAAAGGTTATTCATTTTTCAGGGTCAGGTGAAAGTATAAAATATTTAACAGAACACCATACAGAAGCCTCAACGACTACACATAATATAATTTTTTTCAGTATTTAGTACGTCTACTCTTTGCCTTTATTACAGCGTCCAAAGTGCAATCTAATGATCCAAGTAACTCCAATTAAATATTTTTTTCACTTACTTTCCTTTGACTTTCATCCTTATTATGCAAGTAGAATATCTTGCATCTAATCTTCTCAGAAATATCTTTTCTAGTCATTTTAGATGCAGGTGTGTTTGGGTACTTGCTTGTGTGCATGTTAGCATTGCTTTGAAATGGAACATAATGTCAGTGACTTCATTGGGAATAGCTTTAGTTGTAGCTGTAACTGGTTGGTTTTGGACAGCAGAGATAAAATGGCTGTAGGGTGCACCAAACTAACCAGTGGAAAAGTAAAATATTGATATGCTTGATATTATACTTAGTGTTGGAGATTGTAACATGTTATTTTCTGTTAAATACATTTGTCCTGATTTTTTCTGACACCGAAAAGAAATAACTTGAACTTAATGGCCGTTTTGACTGAAAATGAAATAAACCATAGAGCGGACTTTGACTTCTGCACAGTGCTGTGTATCATCAATGTTGTAAGAAAAACCTCACATCTACAAATTGCTAACTTCACGGGCGAAGGACAAACATTTTATATTTTAAGTTTAAGGTTACAAGATTTTATTCCAAGTAATTTTGGACCATTTCTATTAGTCCAGTCTTCATTCAAAATATTCACACAATGTAATGGGTAGCTGAGATTTTCAAATGGTATGTAATAAAAGCCAAAAAATGCACTTTTAATGTTTTGACAGGACAGAAAATATAAGCTGTGTATGTTTTGCATCATATCTGTGGGTCAGCTCTATATCAGAACATCACGTGGTGTGAGGGCATGTATTGTGGATCGTACCTGCTCCAGTGCACATGCTCCACGAGGGCAGCCTGTAGGGAGTGGTGAAACTGTAGAACACGCTGACGTCTTGTGGCGTTAGAAATTCCACAAACTTGGCGTTCTTGAACACATCCCGCTTGCAGTTGAGAATAGACGCTGCCTGATCTGAGATGTAAACAATCTTCCCCGTGATCAGAGACACGGCCACAGCAAAGATATCCTACACACAGTCAACGTTAGGGGTCATTAGTAGCCTTTACAATTATCCACCATGTCATTTGTTATGTTTAAAGCAAAAATGTACAATCATATGCAAAAGTGTGGGCACCCCTGGTCAAATTACATGTTCTGTTGATCTTATAAGTGAAAATAAGGTAAAATATTGTCTACAGAGAACTCCCTTCTGCACATTCTAATGTATAATTGCTGTTTATTTGCTGAATTAAATATACTGGAATAAATTAAAATGAGACATAAATGTGGCCTGTGCAAAAGTTATGGCACATTGTCTGTGTCTGTGTTTTGTTCCACTATGTTATTTTTTCTTAATATGTTATACTCAGCAAATCAATAGAAATTGTACACTAAAACTTGCAGGAAAATGTCATATTTAAAATTGTTTGATGTAGAGGACGTGTAAACTTCTTTCACTCAGAAAATCAACAAAACCAGAGTTTTTGAACATTTGCATACGATAGTAGTTAAAACAGAACACTTTGCAAACCTCATCTAAAGAAACAAATGAAAACCATCTCTTATTGTCATATACACCTCAATGGTAGTTTCATTACCACAGTAAAACAACTGGACTTAACATGATGACTACGGTCTAATGTATAAATTACTTAGATTAACTGCTTTACTACTTATTTTTTATTTCATTATTTGGCTTAATTATCTATATAAACCTATAATTGACACATAATACCCCCAAAATATACTACTCCTCCAAGAAATAAAACTCTACATAATTCAAGCAGAGAATATACCTTATTGACAAGTTCTTAAAACACTACCAGATGTTCTAGTGTAATACACTATTAAAATATTTAAGATCACGTTAGAACATTGTACAAAACTGAAATAAACTTATAACATGTATGTGCATTACAGGTGCAATGGTACACAGAAGTCACTGTGCGGTTCACAGCACGGTTTAGACATCCCGGTATGGTACGAGCTCAGTACAGCAGGACAAAAGCAACAAAAACCCCCAAATGCATAAGGCTAGATTTCTTTTTTTTTATTTTGGACAGACAGCTGTACAGTTTGTTCCATCAATTTTCATCAATCTTCACACATACCGCATATTCTCGGTATGGATACACGTACTGTTACACCCCTAATGTACATGTTTCAACAATATAGAAATAACACAATCAAAGTAAAAATACGTCATAAAGGGCACTAGTATGAAACTCACTGTATTTTTGAGAGTGTATTCTGAGGTGATGCTGTCGATCTCTTCTATCGTATATGAGGACACGTCCAGGCCAGATGGCTGGCTGTCATTGATCATAAGCAGCTGGTAGTACTCCTCATTGGCTTAAAAAAACAATTTTAATCAAAATTGTAAATTCAGTTCAAGTTCCCCATTTAAGGACCTCATAAAGCATTTGTAACAGATAGATGACTTGCTCTTAAGTCAGAAATAGCATTGGCCTGAATAATGAAGTACTTGTTCATTACAGTGGTACTCATTTCTCTAGTTAGTATTTGGAAGCTTCGTCCTTTTATAAGCCACAAAGATTACAGCCTAAATTTCATCAGAAAAGGCCTTTAGATAGAACAGTGGTTAGTAACACATGAAAAAAAACATAATAAGCTTTAAATGTGTGAGTGCTTTAAATTATTCTTAAGAAAAATCCTCAATACAAAATTTGTGAAACGAGGCTGTTATACGATGAAGGCACAACAAGTTTGTTGAATCTGCTATAGGCTAACTTGGTGCCTTGTTGTCTAGCTAGGCTAACATTTATATAAACTTAAAATTCTCCGGGATCTCAATGACATTTTTTAAAGGGTCATGTTACCTTGTCATAGACAAGTAAATTATGTTTTGGGTTCCTACTCTACAATGCCAAGGTGAGTAGGATTACATTCCTTTTTAAAATCAAGACTAAGCAAACCACAGTTGTTCTGTAAGACCTGAAGTGAAGCCAGCCATAATCTTGGTTTAAAAGCTCAAGGTTGACATCTTAAGAGTTTCAACTCACCTTCAACCTGTTTAACACAGCGCAGAGCATATTTGAGGGTATTCAGAGTCGTAGACTTGCTGCCCTTGTTTCTCTTCTCTGCTGGCAAATGGAGCTTCAGTTCCTTGAGTGTTTTAATCAGCTCCTTCTGTGTCTTTGCTTTAGCAGACTCTTCACTACTGCAGGTGCGCAGAACACAAAAACGTGTAAAACTTTGAAAAACAGGCATGCAAGCATCATCAGTATGAACTGTATGTACTGGACCAATAGTGACAGAGGAAGCAAAATCTAAATACTGAAGGGCAGTAGACCTACAGTAGGATTGGACCTAAATTCTGTAGAGCAGTAGGTCTATGATAGGATCAGACCCAAATTCTGTAAGGCAGCAGACCTACAGTAGGATTGGACCTACATTCTGTAGGGCACTAGATCTACAGTAGCATAGCCCTACAGAAGAAAGGTTCATTAACTCTGCTGTAGAAACTGAAGCATGTTTAGAGCTATGCCATAGAAAAAACACTTTTGTTTCCCTGCAGAATCTTTCAAAGGATCTTTAAAGGTTTAAAGGTACCATAAACAATGGAGTTTGAACAACTCTTTTAAAGGTTAAAGAACCTCCACATGATGTAAAGGTTCTATACCTACTAAAGTTTTTTTTTCCTAGAACCATATGTCCAAACTGATCATCATTTAAAAACCCATTTTTCATTTTTAAGAGTGTATTACAACCTGGCATTTGAAAAATGATTGTTTGTCCAGGTATGCATGCATTAAAACCTACAACTACTGGTACATAGATTGTATGAGATCTATGAATAGCACTGTGCAAAAATCAGAGACCACCTATGAATTTAATTTCCAGTCAAGATAGCCAGTAGGTACATCCTTTATTTTTCAGGAGATATTTCTGATAAGATTTAAAATAAAATAGTCCACTTGCAAAAGGAAGGGGAAAGTCAAAAGACAGTTAATGAAAAACTAGAAGTTTCAAAAACTGGCTTTACTGAATGTGTTTGGATTATCTGAATTGTGAAAAGCAGAAAATACAAACAACTTTTAAGACTGAACTTTTGAGGTAAGGAAAAATATTTAAAATATCAGAAAAAACAAAGTAAGTTTTCTGAAAAGAATGGAAGCTGTAATATAGGCAACTGGTGAACACACTAAACACTGACTGAAATGTTCTATTATATTTAGTTGTTAAGACTAATTTTCTGTTAAATGTGGGTTTCCTGCTTTTTTCTCTGATGCTGAAAAATTAATAATGGCCATTTTAACTGGAAATCAAATACAAAAGGGTGGTTTCTGACTTTTGCACACTACTAAATGTGTGTACATATCTGTGTGTATGCATTCAAACCTGCAGCCACTGGTGGAGGGATTGTCCTGTTCAGAACTGGCACTCAGCAGACTGAAGGCATTGGAGCTGCTAGGAGGTGAAGGACTGTGGGAGTTGGAGCTGCAAAGCAAAACAAACAAAATACAAAATAATCACATTAAGGCATAAAACACAATAAGCACAGCATACACTACATCATAAGACAACTATGATTAACTTTCATCTTATAATAAGTACACCACTAACCTGAGAATTTTACTGTATTTTACTGAACAAGTACTAATAGCCAACTCAGTATCAGACTAAAAAAATCATCAATCACGGCAGCAGGTCATCAGGTATAAATGTGAGAATTGAGGGAGATTTTTGAAGCTGTACAGTTGTTTTTGACTCCTCTGACCTTTAAAGACCACTAGAGTTACGGTTTGATGTGTCAGGAAGACTGGATTCTCAGAAATGGCTTTGTTATTGAAAATGGCAACACTGTGTCATACAGACTGCAAGAAGTGATTTCCAGTTCAGCATTAATACTATAGATGACTGTTCCTCTTTTAAAGGATGATTAGAGACACTCAATTAGACCACTGACCACCATTTAAATTTAAACTGAATAAATGTAAAATATTTGGAGATTTGTTTATTAAGCCAAATTAATGCAACATGGCCAACTGTTTTCAGGTTCTACTTTTCAGTGCACAAGAAAAAAAAGAACTGCTATAAAAATAGGGTACTTGCAACTAGACCTTCACACTAATAGACATGCCTCAAGATGTCTTCATACGTCTTTATAAGTGTGTCTTAAGACATGTATTAAGACACCCCAAGACAGGATGAGGTCTGGGCAGTAAGCTTTCTTTTTACCACTGAACAGATGGTATATGTCTTTTGAATAAAAAGTCAGTGTGATTTGACTATTCCTTCCTCTCTCAGGCACTCAATTACATAACCCTTGTTATTTCCTCTGTTTCTTCAAAAAGGCTGCCATGTGTCTTGGGACCACTTCTTCGAAGGCAGGTTGCCATGTGTCCTAGGATCCCCTGATGCCAAGCGAGCTTTGTAGGTCCAAGTGTTTTGGGGGTCATTAAAAAAAAGAACCCCTTTATGAACTGTGTACAAATGGTTCTCAGGGTGCCGTTTCATGCTGGTTCTGAGAACGGATGTCAATTTTGAAAATTGGGGACATGGAGTGGGGTTTAAAGGGGAATTTTTCTAAATTTCTGCCTAATTAAATGCTTAAGATATAAACAAAGTTGTTCAGAGTAGTTTGATGTGACATGCTCTATTTTAGAGAAACTTAGTAAGTCACAGTGGTGGTGATACACCGCTAGAAATAAAGATAATGTGCAGGTAGATTTTTCATTCATCAAGGTACAAACAATGTAAATGTACACTCAAAGGTACAACAGTGTTTATAAGGTCCAATTGTGTACCTTAAAAGTTTTTCCCAGGTGAAAAGTACATGTCTGTACCTTTTCATAACCTAATGTTTTAAAACAGAACAATAAAATAAAAAACTTGGAGACAAGACGGGGTGTGTGGAATCTGTACAACTTAGAAAATATAATTTCAATGGATTATGGTACAACTATGTTCCTGTCTAAAGGTGAAGACATGTACCCTTGAGGTTACCACCCCAGTGACAGTTCCGTACCTTTTTTTTGGGAGTGTAGGAACCAGACATCTGAAGAGTTTAACTGTGCAAATATTTACCTCACAGAAAGTTATTATATGAAGTGGTTATGAATACGTTGACAGATGTCTGAGACATTGTTTTTTTACAATAGTTTTACTAAAATGTGTTTTTTAATCCTGGCAGAGAGGTATGTGCAGGGTATTGTAAGCCAATATAGTACCTGAAAATAAGACATAATTTTTGGAATACACCGCTATTTTACCACTATCAAAATTAAATATAAAAACTCGGAAGACACATGTAGGTTAACTGGTAGTTTTAGATAGTAAATAAACTGGTTATATTTGTGTTGTAGACATCACAACTCCTGGTTCCAACACAGTAAAGAAATCTGAGTTGGGAAGTTTCTCTACAACCATTTCACATCAAGCCATTCCGAATTACTCTGTTCATCTCTCAATCATTGAATTTTGCTGAAATTTTGTAAAACTGTTAGCATTCCCTTTGATAAGCTAAAGGAGACAAACTTAATTATAGTTTTACTTTCCCTTGAGGAGGGTGATTATTTCCCCCCCAGATTTTATAACCTAGTCAAAGCATGCAAGAGCCTGTAAAGGAAATGGTTAAAAAAGGGTAGGTCTACTGTTACTGTCTAGCTTTCATAATCTGAATGACAGAAACATAATAATAATACGTGCTGTCTGGTAAAAATCCATCTGAACCACACCACAGATATACCGCTCATCATTTTCATGGTTTCATTATAGCCGTTTGCATGATTTCTTCAGTAATGACTTCTGAGATGCATCATTTCTAGCTGAATGCTATTACAGTGAAGAGAAAGAGAAATCAAAAGAAAAGAAATCTTTAAGTATTCAAAACTCTTAGGGAGATAAAAGGACAATATGCAAGTAAGCTGACAGAAAGTGTGTCATTTGACATGAAGACAATCCACTCTGTCAGCACTAACATTAATAGTTACATTTTTCCAGCAATGCATTATGAGGTAAACAGTTAAATGAGGTGATTAGTCAATTAACATTAGCTAGTGTTAACAGCTTACATTCACTGTTGCAATATCAAATTGATTTTGTTGCTAACTCCTATAGCTAAAGCTAGCTCCTACCGCTACAGCTTGCTATCATAGCAATATAGCTAAAGTTAACTCCTATAGCTAAAGCTGTAGTCCAAACCATGCAAAAAGTATGTTCACATTGCAGACGAACTGAACCATGCTTCAGTTTGATCTGGACCAAGACCTCTTCTGGGCCATTTTTATCTGCTGTGTGAATGTAGCCTTAAACTGATTTTTCTCTCTCTTACTGTATAAATATTAATAATTGTTCTGCCTTTATTCTGATAGGCAATGCTTATTTTCTTGCAAGAATGTGCCTTGTAATGCATGGAGAGAGTGTGATTAATTTAATTCAATGATTGACAATTGCATTTGTCTATTCCAAAGTTGTATATAATGTTATATATAACATCATACATAATGTTATCCAATAGTGCATGTAATCAATAATTCTCTCTCCATGCATCACAGGACATGTTCTCACAAGAAAATATAAACTACTTAGAACAAGAGTGATGTGTCCTTGGCGATCGACTATGTGGGAGAATAGGACAAGCCAGCGTTGCAGGTGAGTATTAGGGGACTTCACCACTACAGCTATTTGAGTGTGTGTGCATGTGTCTGAGCCGCTGCTGTGTCCTCTCAGCTTAGCGCTGTAAGTACTAGAGAAAGCCCCTATCCAGGTGCAGGTGACATTTTAGGCTCCTCGAAGGCCACATGTATGTGTATTAATAGTCTCCAAAGGAGCTTAGAATAGAAAGCATGTCCACAAATAGCATCTCTAAGCACTTAGTGTGTGCTAATTATATAAACTAAACCTGTCTTTAGCCAGCTGGGACTGTGTCTGTATGCTATTGATACAATAGGTTAATGTTGCAGGCTAATTAAATCTGGAGATAAGATGTTAAGTTCTGTCCTGCTGGTGCATGTGGAGTAGCCCAGAATGTCTTCACAATCTGAGGTAAACTTCTCAGACAGAAGCTCCAGGAAGGGCATTTACAGGTTCTTCGATTTGCTGGAGTGTCTCTTTGGCCAAACACTTTGCTTCTTTGTTTTTTAATGACGCCAGGTGCACTTTAGGTAGTCAGTTGGAGAGCACTCTAAACACAAATGCCTGTGTATTTTATTAAAAATGGGCAGGTGAGAGATGGGAGTGCTAGGTATGCAATATATATATATATATATATATATATATTATATATATATATATATATATATATTTTAAGATAGGTGGGGATAGTGGGCTGGGAACATGAAACATGATATTACTGGTGTCTGGTGCATGGTGACATAATTAAAAATCATAAGACACTTTAGAAATGGGTAAAAATTGTTAAATTGTGATCAAGGATTCTAGGGAAACAAGATTTTTATCTTTCAAATGGAAGGATATGATGAACCATGCTTGATACCATTAGTCACATTAACTAACAAGGTAAAAAGAGGTCAGCTTTGGTTTCAGGTTGACTTCAATAAGAAGAGTAAATTACCTATTTTTCTCCTGCATAAAGGGGTTAAAACTCTCCATGAATGTTCACCCTCCTTAGAGCTAGGGATGGCAAAAGTCACTCTTTTTAAGGGAAGTTGAAATATCAATACGTTTTTGACAATTAATTGAAAGAAAGGAGTATCAAGAATGAGAGAAACATGAGAAGAAACTGAGACAAACACTGAGAAACGGAATAAACACAAAATGAGAAGAATAAGAGGGAAAGGCTCTCATCAATCAAGAAAAGGAAAAAAGCAAATGACTGAGGCAGACAGCAGAATGAGAAGCATTGAGAAAGCAGAAAGAGAGAAAATGCTTGGGAAGGAGATGATGGAGAAAGAGAGCTCGATACAGAGACGTAAACACAAATGCGGAGAGGGGAATGTGGAGAAAATGAGCAGGCTGCGCTCATCTCATGTACTCATACACAAACAGCACGTTGGCATGGAAATATGTCAGAGTGCGTGGGTAGGGAAGGTTTTCCGCCTGTTGCTGGGAGGCATCAATCAGTCAGAGACTAGAGAGGATTACAGTCTTTTGGTCTCTGATCAAACATGTATTAGCTTTTCTCGTCCTTCACGGAATATCCCAATTAGATATGACTCCCGTAATTTATGAATCAACATACACGAACTGGTCACTTCATTAAAACGACCTCCTTGTTTCTACACTCATTGTCCATGTAGGTGCACTTTTTAGTGCTACATTTACAGACTGTAGTCCATCTGTTTCTCTGCCTACTTTGTTAGCCCCCTTTCACCTTGTTCTTCAGCGGTCAGGACCACCACAGAACAGGCATTTATGGGTGGTGGATCACTCTCAGCACTGCAGTGACACTGACACTATGTTTGCACACTGTGTCCACTCACTGTCCACTCTATTAGACACTCCTACCTTGTTGATTCACCTTGTAGATGTTAAGTCAGAGATGATAGCTCATCTGTTGCTGCACAGTTTGTGTTGGTCACCTTCTAGTCCTTCACCAGAAATCACAGGACGCTGTTGGCTGGATATTTTTGGTTGGTGGACAATTCTTAGTTCAGCAGTGACACTGAGGTGTTTAAAAACTCCAGCTGCACTGCTGCATCTGATCCATAACTAACACACTACTACCACATCAGTGTCACTGCAGTGCTGAGAATGATCCACTACCCAAATAATCCTTGCTCTGTGGTGGTCCTTTGGGGGTCCTAACCATTAAAGAACAGGCTGAAAAAAGGGCTAATAAAGTATGCTGAGAAACATACAGATTACAGTCTGTATTTGTACAACTATAAAGTGCACCAATACGGTGTGTGGAGCTAATAAAATGGTCAATGAACATAGAAACAATGAGACGATTTTAATGAAGTGGTCAGTCAGTGTATGCAAGCACTTTTGAACTGATAAGGACAATGGCGCCAAATGTCTCATATGTTTACAAAGGCTGGAAAATTGCTCAAATTACTTAAAGAAAGAATCTGGCAAAATGATAGAGATTAGATGGAGAGAAAACTAGCAGTTAGCATGATCATGCTTGTTTCCTTTCTTTGTTAGACATATTATCAATTTAAACAATGACTCCAATAGTTTGTTTGTTTCTGGTGAGACCTTTGCTCTGTTAGAGAATCTCTTTATGAAGGCTGCAAAATTGCTAAAAAGCTAACATGGCAAATAGACTGGATGCAGAGAAAACCAACAGTTAGCACAACCATGTTAGTTGCCATTTACTGTTAGGCCCATTACCAATTTTGAAAACAGCGGTAGTTCATTAGTTTCTGGTTAAATTTTCTCTCAGAGAATCATTCTAAAAAGGTTGCAAAATTGCTCTGTTTACTTAAGTGGTTAGTTATGTAAGATGCTAACATGGCTAATAGTGACTGACCATAGAAAACACCAGAAGAAGGTCACACTAGTTTCCATTCACTCTTAGCCACATAGCCAATTTTGGCTAAGCTATCCCAATCACAACTAATGGTCAGTCTTCAGCTCTGGACAAGAAAGCATTTCATGACTATGACAGAGCAGAAACATTAAGTGAAAAAGAGAAACCTAGACCTAAAAATGACCCTTAACTCGCTTTTGTTGTGTTGCATGTGAGCCCTTGTCCGCTAATGATCGTGATGTTTATCATGGAACCTTCATCAAAAGGCCTCAAGAGCTTCTATTATTACACCTCCTTGAAGTCCTGAAAAGCAGAACTAAACTAGAGCTCTCCACAGCCTCAGCAGGATGAGTGGGGATAGAGAGGACTAACAGACAAACAGCAACTGTTGCTGACGGGTTTGGAGAATGTGCTGTCTCTGAGTGAGCTCAGCCTGCGTCATGCAGCATGGCAGGTGCCTATTACTTCAGTCCGACAGCCAGCGACGCTACAATCAGCGTCCAGCTTCTAACCATCTTCAATTAATTATAAAGACTTTAAAGAATGTAAACAAATATGGGGTGTCAAGGAAATAGAGAAGAGGTCTTTGTAAAGGGCGAGATGCCTGTTTGATGACTTAAAAGTGTTCTGTGGGTGATAAGATAGGAGATAGGAGGCAGGGCTAGGTCCTGAATCTTGTATGGTTTGGATCAGTGGGTGACAGGATAGGAGACAGGGGGCAGGGCTAGGTCCTGAATATTGTAAGTGGGGTTCAGTGATTAGGGTTTATGGTCATTTGTGTGTAATTGTGTAAAATAAGGCAATATTAAGGGGATCTTTGAATGCATAAATGTATCTATACAGGATTATTTAATAATATTAATTTAACTGTTTAAACTACTGTTTCTCTTTTTCCTGGGGCAGGGGCTGTTCAAAGGCTTGCATGGCTTCTGTCATTCCCTAAAAGTTAGGATACAACTTACTTGTACAATAAATACATTGTTAAGGGCTGCAATGACAGAACGGATCAAATGTGCAGCGCCAAAGTAATATAAGTAACAAATGAATCATTCACCTAAATGGCCAGCCACAAAACACATGTGCACAGCTGGAAAAAATTCTTTATCATCAACTGCTAGCCTGTTAAAATGATTAAAATGTAATTATTATTTACACTTACATCCAGACTTCTGTGTTTCGTGAGATTGATGCGTTTGGTTATTTATCCTGGCTAGCAACTGCCTGCTTTGACACAATATGGATGTTTGACTGCTGTTGTCTTGTGTGATGTGTAGGGGTAAGTGATTTAAAACATATCCGCAGGAAACAAAGTGTCGGAAAATGCAAGGATGATTAATTTGCTAGCAACTAAGGTCTTCAAAGAAAACTCGAATAACTTTAGAATGTATTCTTTTAATAATTCAGCAACTATGTTTTGCTCTGAAATACTGGTCAGGTGCTCAAAGCGGGCAGCTGCTCGCAAACGTTTGTTTTCCTTTTGACAGATTAAGTATGGTGCGCAGAAGTCAACTTTTGGATAGCCAATCAGAATGAAACTGACAAAATCCTGATAGTTGTAACTTAGCATGCAATAGACATCAGATGCTCCGTGTACAAGTGGGTGGAGAAAACACAGTAGCAATAATGCTATTACCTCTTGTTGCTCCCTGATGATTCCAATAGGGCTGAATCTTTGCTGTTGCCATTGGAACTTCCGGTCGACTCGTTGCCATGTGACTCATTGCCGTGCGATTCATTGCCGTGTGACTCATTGCCGTGCGATTCAGTCCCACTTCCACTGGACCCACTACTCTTCATCTCAACATCCTCGTGCAAGGAGTGCGCCATCTTGTGGTCACTGTGAGGCGAAGCAGGAGGGTCCTGACTGCTGCTGTCACTGCCTTCTGAGGCCAGGCCAAGCTCACCACCCTCTGCGAAACCGCTCATTCGACGGAGCGTAGCCATGGAACTACAGCCAGCAGCTTGGTCCTGCCCCTCCAGAGAGGAGAACAGGTATTGTTTGGAGTCTTCAGACATGGAGATGGACTTAGATTGATATAGAGGTCAAGAAAATCAGCCCATCTTCACAGAGGAGACTTGAAGAGAGTGAATCAAATTCAACCTGGATTAAATCTAGAGAAAACACAAACAAACACAAACATAAGTCACACATAGGACTCGAAGAAAGTTGGAACTTCAGAAAAAAAACTGAGGCAATATAGTGTAATACAAAGCCCAATGTCCCTTTTTCAGATAAAAATATGCCACACTGTGTCAGAAACAGCATAAAGAAAGTCTTTCTGAAATTACTTAACACACCAGTGTGGTTTGAGGTAAGTGTGATGATTTAGACATGCAGTTCGCACAATGCTACAGGGTGGCTATAAGCTTCCATTAAGTGTTAGCTACATTAGGCTGTAGTGCAAAACAAAAGAAACAAACTTGTGTTGGCTGATCAACTACGTTTGTGGTAAGAAGGGAATCGTCTAAATTTGAGTACTGGTCAAAACATGACTATAAGGACAAGCTAGAAAACTGACAGGAAAACTTTGTCTAAAGCAAGACTTACAGACTTCAGAGCTAGCAAGTAACACTTCACCTGCATCAAGGATTACTCATCCCAAACATGTTATCCTTGATATTCTTTTTCCACAGTAGCCATAATGGTTTGAAGGTCCCTCAGTTGAACTATGCATTTATTTCCTTTAACAGTTTTGTAGAATATATGTTGACTGAAAGGTCAATGATTAACATAACCACAAGCAAACTGGATTCCTTTTGTACTGTGAGTAAACAATTCAACATTTATTAATGTGTTTTTATTGTGTAATTGCAACTTGTTTACTGTAGCAGTTGTACACAAGTTTGTTTAAGTCAAGAAAACAGCTGTATTGTCTGTTGTTGCCCATGCTGTCAATGGTTTTATCTCAGCACAGCCATCTTTGTGAAGAGGTGTCAATTGTTTTCACAATAGGGGGTTCTCACCTTCCCTTTTCACTCCTCATTGCCCACCAGCAGTTCAACACAGACTCCCAAAATTTCATACCCAGAGAGCCCACTGTGTCCTAATTAATCTGATAATGGGGAAAATATTACATTTTGATTGTATTAAATAAACAAATATCTGAATAGTCTGCCAGCAGAATGGCCAATAAGGGGCCTGCCTCAGTGTTCCCTGAGACATGTTATGAAACCTTTAAATACGACTGAATAAGATACACAAATCCATAAAGACTGCAGAGTCACCACTGCTACAGAACGCAGGACTGTCAGCATGAGGTAAACCAGTGGCCAGTTTTGTCCATTTCAAATTCAATAAGTAGCAGAAAAACATATACAAAATCTGTAAATTATTTCACTGGACATAAAACATTAAGAAACAAAGGCTATATCTACAAAGACTTAAGTGTTCATGTTCAAAGCAAGATCTGAAAGGGCAGTGTCTGTCTGGTGCCCTTCTTAAAACAGAAGCTCACAGAGCTAGAACATCAAAGCTAGCTTAGCTTAGCTCTGGGCAATGGTCTCGGGGATAGCCTCTGCTCTGTCTGCTCAAGGACCACCATCTGGGCCTTCAAAAGGTGTCAGACTCTGCGGTTCAGCCTCTGTAGCTATGTACTCTGCCCTTTAGCCTTGCTGGAGGCCTCTCCACAGGTTCTGCTGGCTTGCAGGCCAGACAGATCTCGTGTTTCATCTCCCAGGGGCTCTTCTGCCCCTTTCAAAAAAACCCTCCTTGCCCTACTCTCTCACATGAGACATAAAAAGACATGAATTAATAGGTTTAGTCCAGGTTTGGTCTGCTGATGTTTCCCGTAGGTGTTCTGGGGTTCCCTGAAGATCCATTTTAGAGCCTTTTGCAGATACAGCAACTAGAACTATGACATGGTTGAAAGGATTCAGAAATATGATCTCACACTTCCAGAGTCATACTGAGAAAGCGCTTTAAAAAAGCCTTAATAATTTGTATATAGTCAGGAACATTTGCAAAGCTGCAAACAACAGCAAGGACTTGGCTGACCCTATAACACATTCTCAGCCACTTCTACTGAAATGAACAGGCTACAATTAGGTCAGCAACGGAAGCGGAAGACTACAAACTAAACCTTGGAGTTGCTGCCAATGGTTGCACCTGATTCTCTTTGGTAGTCTTCTACAGTGGCCTAGTGATAGGATTAACTAATCCTGAATTAAGTATAACAACCAGGTCTTTGGTTTAAACAGATTTAATTAACCAAGGTTTCCTGGCCAGGACCCAAGCTTGGACAAATTAAGGAAAGACACCTTCAGTGAAGTTTCTTAAAGTGCAGTTTGTGGCTCACTGCCATTCCAAATGGAAGCAACAAATCCAACTGTGGGACAAGCTGATGTGAGCCCCAGGTTCTGGACTGTGTACTGTCTTGCATAGATGATTTCAGGAAGAGACAGATTTGCAGATTTTTATTTCTGGTTCCAATTAGCAAAATTAAATTTACAGAGTTTCACAGATTTGATTAACACTTTTAAAAGAATAAAACATTAAGCTTGTCATGTAATAAATGTTCTTATAACTTTTAAGAAAAAAGTCTTCCCTTTTGAATCTAGGTCAAGATAAGGTAAACAACACATCAAAATTCTCCATATCATACTTTGTGTTTAACTTTTGGGGCAGATCAAGACATGCTCCTTTCTCACCGATTCTCTACGGATAGCATCCAATGCTCTAGGTAAAAAGCAAGAGTTGAAAGAGAAGCAATCCAGTCGGTTACACAACAATTAAACGCCCTTAAAAACACGTCTTCAAATACCGAATGACTCACTTGCCCCGCGGCTAGTTCACGTGAATGGTCCTTATTTGTAGAGAGGTAAAGCACAGCGGCCTATGCAGTTCAAACAATGTACTAAGTGATTGTTACAGTAACGCAGGAATTGGCTGTGTTTCTGGCCAAAATCCAGAGTAACCTAGTAACCCAGAGAGCAAAGACACAACAAATTTGACATCAGGGTTCTTAAACTCCAGTCCAGAAAGGCCGTTGCAGTGCACTGTGTGCACAGATTTCACAACTCACAGCTCACTATTAAAAAAGGTTCCTTAATAAGTCTTGGCCTGAATGCACTGAAAAACTGGTAGAAAACCTTTATATTATGTTGATGTTCTTTAAACTTCAAAATGGTTCTCCTTTATAAAGGTGATGTTCAAACAACAAGCCTTTGAAATGTTCTTTAGGGAAAAGTAGTTTTTCTATGGCTCCAAGAAACCTTTTAGGCTGTTATCATCATATTGTCCCCTTCTAGGATTTAGGTTTTGGTTATTTAAACCTCCTGCTCTTGTTAGAGTTAGAATTGTTTGCACAGCTAAATAATGAAAATCATGACTCAGATGTGATGGGTTTTACAGGAACAGTATCTGATAGATAATTCTGCTGATATGAATGTTGAGTATTGTCAGAATAATCTGATTATTTAAGTACATACCAAAATTAGCCGCATAAACATTTCAGAGCCTTTGATGTTTTTGTAATTTGAGTCATCAGAGCTTATGAAAGTGTCAGTTTTAGCTAGTTATTGCAGCAGTGCTGCGTCAAAGCTACAGTCTGAAAATAAGTGGCACACTTCACAAAAAGGAAATGGACTTTTAAGCACTCTCAAATTTGAGCCTAATCGATATCAGTTGGACAATAATATGGGCTGACCTTGATTTCTCAAATCATAATACTTTTACCTCTATACAAGAATATTTGTGTGGAAATGAATCTATGTCCAATTTATTAAAGGACCCTCAGTTTTCTTCCATTTTTTTTCCCCCTAAAGTTAATTTAGAAGGTTTATGTGGTTTAATGTACCAAAAACAGTCATAATTCATTTATGAATAAGCTCTCTTTATCCCCTAGAATTAAACAGGTTGTTTTGGTTGTTGTGCCTTTGAGACTGATATATGTAAATGATTGCTGTGGTAAGCGGCTCATTCGAAAAGCAGTTCGGGCTGAAACACTTTATAACTTTGGTGTAAATGGGTGAAGCTAATCTGCTGTAGGCTGAATAGACAGATATATGTAAATGTGTGGGTTTTTGTGACATTATGGAAACAATGAATTCAAAACAGGCTGTTTTTGTAACTTAAGTTTCCATATACAAACAGGACTGAACATTAAGTTTTAAAACTAATGTTTATACTACATCAAACCTATTTCAGAAACATTAGGAAAATTCAGTTTTCATTGATATGGGCTCTTCAACATTTTGTTACTAATTCCTTTTTGGGTTTAATTTCATTATGTCACACTGGTTACAGCGTCTGTACTGCTTTGTGATGGTCACATCTCTGACTTCTGAGGTTTAGCTTTTTTTTTTATCAAATAGAGAAGAAGAGCCTAACAAACTTTAGTCCCTGTGCTGATGGAAACATACAGTAAGCAGTTTCAAGTTACTCGGTTACTTGAATAAAAGTACAAAACTACTTAAGTTGTACTTGTGGAAAGATACTTTAACTTGAGTCAATATTTCATAGATGTAACAATACATTTACTTGATTATGTCTTTAGGCTACACTTCCCACCACAGAGCAACCAAAATTAGTGGCTTGTTTATTCTGGTAAAAATATCTAATGTGAGGAAAACCATCCTCGTCCCAACATTTAGTTCTTCAATTCTAGTCCTGCAGGTCCAGTGTTTTGACAGTTTGGTGATTTCAGATTTGTTTGAGAGGGAAAAAAACTAACTGCTAGAGTTCATTCCTCCAGAACCAGAATGAATGAGTCATTTAGTGAATTCTAGGACTGAAAGATTAATCGTTTTCATATAGAAATCACAATTGGAAAGAATACGATTTTTAAACCACAACAGCTTTAATTATAACTCATCAACAATATTAAGTGGAGAAATTTAGCCTAAATAACAATGAATCACCTGCAGATGACTTTGACCAATCAAAAGCAACCAAGCACCCATGTGCTGTGTATATGACAACACAACCACAACTGACAACCTGGCACATGTTTAGGGTTCAAGCCTCAAGCCAAAACAAGGGGAAAAGTGGATGTGATGAACATCCTAGCTAAAATAACAAGCCTGGACCTAAATTCCTACCTAAATAGAGAATTGTGCAGCCTTACTTAATTCACACTCATATGCCAGTCTCATTCTGTAACAACAATCTTGAACAAAAACATTATCATGGTTAAAATGACAAAAACATTTAAATAATATCTAAACCCTTTATCATCAGGATAACATGCTACTATCTCTACTCTCCCTACTCTCTCAAATCTCAATAAAAATCTAATCTCAAAACTTAATAAATGGGGTTTTCTTCCCCAAAAGCAAAGCATGATTGACTGAGCAGGTTTTTTTTTTTTTTAGAAGTAAACTCAAGTTTAATTGGTGAAAAAGTGCCACGTGTCTGGCTCTATGTCCTGTAATTGAATTGCCTGACACCTGTATATCCCAGCACAGACTAAAGGGGGGCTTAAGTGCTTCCGGGAGACGCAAACAGCCACCAGGCTAATTCTGTGGTGTATATGCTTCCTTAAGGTCAATAGAAGAAAACACTGCTCTTTAATGTGGTTACAGCCATCACATTTGTGTTACAACAGCTGGGTAAAGCAATAATGGAGAAATAAGAGTAAGAACATTTGTACCCTGCATGAGCCACAAAACCTGGTATGAGTTTCTCATTCTTACTTAAACTGACATGAATGGTCACAATAACCTGTCAGCTATGGGTGACAATATAAGTTATTGTGATAAAGTATGTCATACTACACTTTTCTGAGAATATTGCTTCTAAAACAGTGAACAATGGAAAATATGACATGATGAAAAAACATACAAAGCCTGAAAACAACAACAAGCTTACAGTAACAAACATAAACTGCATAATAACAAGTAACTCATTGGTTAGAAGTCCATTATGTCATCATCTTTTCAATTGTTTGATTTTTTCCTGTAATAACAGTATATAATTTTATTCTTGAATAAAAATGTGCCTGGTTAAAAAGCCAGTTCGCTTGAATGGTAACGGACGCAGGAATGCAAATAAGAAATTCACTTCAGTTAGCAGTTAATTTTGTTTTGCACTGTGTTCATCTAGATCAGAGGTGTACAACTCAGGTCCTGGAGGGCCAGCATCCAGCACAATTTGATTATTTAACTGCTCAAACACACGTTTTTCAGATTATCGGTTAACTGTCAGGTTTAGTGGGTGTATCTGAGTGGGGAAACTATCAAACTGTGCTGGACACCGGGGCTCCGGGACAAAAGTTGTACATCCTTGATCTAGTTGAATGTTTACCTTGCGAATTTGCAAATCCCACTGCATAAGCCAATAGAAAACAAGCTGTGGTCTCTTCTTTCTGAAAACTAATGAAGAAACTGCTCCTCAGTCAACATACCGTCACTGGTCACTCACAATTACAAAAAGACAAACCAGCATCCTAGCCAAGGTAGCTAACATAGCTGTGCGAACAATATTGCTCATACAGGCATTTGATTACACATAAACGTCTTGCATAATCTCCTTAGAAAATTGGCAATAGAATAGGACACACTGATAGAATAGGACCTGAGCCTAAGGTCACCATGCCCAATGTCAAGTGTCAAACAGAGGGTAGATAAAGCCCTTCAGCATTGCTCTGTGAAGCAGTGAAACTGTGTTCTCTTGAGTGATGGAGCTACATTCAATATCTCTAGGATGAGTTGGAGTGAAGCTTATGATCTAGAACTAATAATCCAACATCAGAACCTGACCTCACTAATGCTCGTGTCTGAAAACAGTTAGGTCCTCACAGCAATGTTCCAACATCAAGTGTAAGGCTTTCCTGGATTATTAAAGGCTTTTACTGCAGCAAGGTTCCTATTAATACCCTTGATTTCAGAAGAAATGTTCAAAAGCAGGTATCTACAAACTTTTGGACACTAGGAACCATCAGCAAACTGTTGCTGTCAGAACAAAACTTTGTATCTCTGTTTTTGTTTTTTTTTGTTTCTTTTTTTTACATAATTTGTTAAAGCCAGCTGCCTTTTACCCTGTTTTATTATGACAAACAGATAATAGAAATTGTTCAAAATTAAGAATCAGAATTAAACCTTTTTTCTTAACTTACATTGAAAGATACAAATGTTTCTTCCTTCTCTTGTACAGTTGTTTTTTGGGGGTACTAGGTTTGTTCCGACAGCAACGACATGTAATGTAGCATTATTCAACAGGTAGATTAATAATAATAATAATAATAATAATAATAATAATAATAACAGCAACTTATACAACATCAAAATGGCATCAATGCCATGTGTCATTGTTTACTATCAACTAAATAATCCTGCCAATCAACCTAGTACAGTGTTTTATAACTAAGTTAGAGACATTTATGTAATTGAATGTGAAGCCATAACATGAGCACACACACACCACTGCCTGCCTTTACATAAGGACTTGCATAATTTCAAAGTAAGATCTCACAAGAAATAGTTAACTTTGTCCTAAAGTGAACTTATTTATACATTGAAATACAATTAAGCCAAAGACCTGACATTCAGAGCAAAACATTGAATGCACTTAAGCATGTTCAGTATACAAATAATATTCTCTGACTTTCCAAGGTATTGCATAAGTACCTGATGGGACTGTTACACTAGCACACTACTTTATTAGAAGACTGCTGTGTGGCAAATTATGTGGTTATTTCATACTTTAAGCCCATATTAGATGTAGTTGGCCAATTCACATTCACAACTTAGGTATATGGACAAGATTAACGAAGACAAAACACAATATGTATTTAAACAGAGTTTTGAACTACAAGCAAAAGAGTACAGACAGGTAACTATCCTCTTCCCAGGTTAGCCTTATGTTACCAAGTGTTATAAGTGCTGTGTGTTTATGTGCCCAGAACAATGGCCTGCTTTATAAAACAACAAATGAGACCCTTCTGGTAATTGAGTCTGCTGAGCCACACAGTTGCATTATGAAACTTTTCATGGAAGACACTTTCAGTCACAAGGTAGTTACACAGACAGTGTCCCGTGCTTGGCCATTATATAAATGTGAATGTTTCAGGCATCTAACAAAAAAAAAACACAAAAACAAAGCCACTGCAATAGAATCAGAAAATGAATCTGAATATGATATAAGAAGATTTGCAAATGAAGAGTACTACTTATCACTACTACATGCAATTTAGTGGTGTATACCTTTATAGAAAGAATGTGCACAGGTATTTGAGTGCTGGTTAACTGTATGAAGAGCCAGTCTTCAAATACTGAAGTCATTCTTCAGGTATTCATTTTGTTTTATCTCTAAGAGTGACAGAATAAATATACAAACAAGTAGGTATGTTTGTGAGTAAGTCCTTATCACCATCCATTGTTGCACCAGTTAGCTCTGTTAGCACACTATCTCATCTGAAGAGGCAGTCTCAGTTACTCATCCAACACAAAAATCTACCAATTTCCTTCGGCTATTTTTGAATAATAAAACACATTGCATATTGTGGATATTGTCAGCACGTAAAAACACTTGTCAACTGTATGCTTTGATTACAAAGACAGCATAATTCATAGCACATTTCACAGTATTTTTCTTTGAATGTGGCACTACTTTATCCTTTCCAATTTATCAGATGTCAGGAAAAATATATAATGTGACATATTGTGTATGGTGAAAACTTACTGAAGTATCGTGATATTAACCTGCTAAAAAAGGTAAGCCAACAGCCCTGCATTAATGTTGGCCGAAGTTTGTTTCTTCCTTGTTTTTTCCTACCCTGTGGTTAACCGGTTATCTGTTCAGTAACACTTACAGATGCTTGAATGTCAAAATAAGTAGAAAATGCACATTTTCACCTGAAATGGTTTTTATGTGCGATATATTGGCAGTTGATATTACTTACCAATAAATGAGAACATTTTAATTATGGCTGATAATTACAATCAATAATTTGGCACTTGTGCTTAAGCACAAAGTGATGCACAAATAGTTACTACTGAACAGGCAATTCTGGATAGCACAGTGGATAACACCAACATAGAAGTGCATGCTGCACTTCATATATAGATTTCTAGGTGTTGCTATCGGGATCGCCCACAAAAAAGGAGTTACTGGTTATTGGTAACAGCTTAGAAATTCCTTATCAGTACATTCCTAATAAATTATCAGTCCTAAGAGGTGATTAGATTAAGTGTAGATTTCTCCAGAGACTACTGAACATGTCATCAAGTCCTGTTTTGGTTCTATTCTGTTTCCCACTAAGCCTGAGCCAGGTAAAGAGCCCTTGATTAACTGGCTCTAGTGTGTTGTACTCTAACACACCTGACATTTTTAAGGGCTGATTACTTGCTCTTGTGTGAAAAGACCTTGAAAAACACATGAACTACTTCAGGGTTCTGGAGGACTGACTTGTGAAGCACTGATTTATATGCTCGAATCCCCCTCTCTGTACAGAAACATCAAATTATACTTTATTCTTTTGCTTGGCTTCTATCACTCTCTCTCCAGCTGAGAGGAAGCCTGTTCTGAGATTTGCTTACCTGATGATCTGGTAGCACAGAAGCATGCAGAACAGACTGAAGAGAAGCGTGCAGGGAAAAACCTTCAGGGAAGGGAAGGATGATAAAAATCTCTCTGTCTCTACTTTTGCCCTGCTCAACTCCAGGGTTCCACTTGTAGACAGTAGACAGACTGATATAATGCTAAAATTAGCTACCATTATAAATGGTTCCAGCAGAACAGTGTTCCACTCGTTTGTTGCCATGAGTTATTAATTATGCATAGCCTCTCCCAACAGGTGTTCCTCTATCCTATAAAAAGTGATAACAACCATTACGATAACATCACCAGCTCTGCAAAAAAACATTCAGCTATGGTTTCGGCTCAGACAAAGTTTGTGAACCCTTTGGAACTATCTGGATTTCTGGGTGGCTCTGAAATGTCTTTATTCAAGTCATACGAACATTCAGTGACATCTTTGCGTTTATTACAGCTTCCATTCGCTTCATGAGACTTTCTTTTATTTAGAAATCTGGAGGGATATTTTTCCACATTAGCAAAGTTCAGTCTCAGATGTTTTTTTTTCTGCTTCTCGTGATCTAACTAATCCCCTATACATTCAGTGAAACTAAGGTTTGGACAATTGGGTGGTCACTCAATTTTTCTGAGAACACCCATAGCTTCTTAGTTTTATCTGCAAATTTTCTTCTTTTTTGTAAGGTGGAGTTGATTTCTCCTCTTTCTCAAAGATGAAAGCTGTACTGTTTAACCAATTGTGACAGTTTTGGTGGTCTATTCAGGTCTTGCACTGTCGTTAGGAGTTTAATTTTCCAGTTTTGGAAACTCACTCATTTTCTTTTGACTTTCCATTTTCTTTATGCAAGTGGGTTATCTTATATAAGAGATAACCGTTATACATACGCATGCATTGCATATCAGAAAATTTCTTCAAGTGTCGTATTTTACTTTTTCAAATCTCTCACTCCATATTTGCAAGCCATCCAGACTGAGGTAACAAAGGAGCCCCGTCCTTTTATACTCCCTAAACCATGCTTAACAGTTGTGAAGAGGATGTGCTGTTGCTAATGCTGGGTACATTTACCAAGAAGTTCAGCTTTTGTTTTATCTGTCTGCAAAGTTGCAAGTCCTGCAAACAGGACTCGTGTTCAGTGTTTTTCTTACGGTAGACTAAAGAACATGGACTTCATCAAGTTCAAGTGATGTCTGCACATCCTTATCTGGCTTTGCCTGAAGACTGCATGACATGTTCTTGCACTGATCTCTGTTGGATGCCCACTTCTGGGGACAACATCAATGCTGCTTTATTTCATCCATTTGAATGTCTGACTACACCATCAATCACCTTGGCTGTTTAAATCATTTGTTCAAGAAATATCACAGTAAAATGCTGTGTATTGTTGGTTAAATTGGACAGCTTTTTTTGTTTTTATCCAAAGATGTGGAATTTCTCCCCAAGAGGGTGCTGTTTCCACTGAAGTAGCTTTTCATGTTCTATTAGAGTGGTGTTTTGCATTAATGACACTGTGTGTCTTTGTTCATGACAATCAGATAACATTTTAGAGCCATTCATGTAGAAATACAGATCATTCCAAAAAGTTTACAATGTTTCCCATAACTATATTCTATATCCTGACTGATGTTGAAAAGTTGACATTTTTAACTACATGATTTTTTATTCCCAGATACATTTTACAGCCGCTTTGAATCATCTTTTTGAAAAGCAGTAGGACAAAAAACATTTGCTGAATAGAGGGAGTGTCTGTGCGTGTGTCTGTGTGTATACGTGAGTGGCCCATGGCCAGAACTCTCTCAACATTAAAGTGCATCTCAAGCCTGTCTCTATGTGCG